AGGTAAGTAGTAAGAACTTTAAGGTATCTATTACTTTACTTAAGTAGGTTATTATACCTTAGGCTTTAAATAGCTTAGGTAAAAGTTATAAAGGTTTTATTTAATAATAGAAGATAGTTAAGTAATAAAAAAAGTATAATAAGCTTTATAAATATATTAAGTAATACTTTAATATACTTAATTAAAATAATATACTATTAACTAAATAAAGCGCTATTAAGAAGGCTAGAAATAAAATAGTAAAAAAAGTTACTATAGTAGCTAAGGTAAAAGCACTTACTACCTTATATAAGAATATATTAACTACTAAAAAGTTAATAATCCTTATTAAGGAGTAGTAATTATATACCTTAATAAAGCCTTTTATAGTAGTAGTAACTAAATACTATATAAGGAGACTAAGGTCTAGGTCTAGCGCTTCTATATAAGCTAATAGAGCTCTAACACTAAATAGTTATATACCTCCTTAACTTTAGATAAGTACTTCTAATAGTAGATTATAGCCTTTATAGATATTATCCTTACTAATTATAAAGAGGGTAAACTATAGTCTAAAGAACTCCTTAGTTATATAGTATTAATTAGCTTTATATTTTATACTAACTTAAGTAAAGTAATTTTAAGGTTATAAGTACCCTCTTACTTATTTAGTACTTAAACTATATCTTTATATTAGAAATTTAGTATACTTACTATATAAAGGGCTAATTACACCTTATTAACTAGCTAGAAGACTAAGTTACTAACTCTACTACTAAAGTTAATAAGTATACTAAGTTAATTTATAAGAATATAAAAAACACTACTACCTTAGTAATAGCTATTAATAAGGCTAAAGTAGCTATAGTAGTATAAAGTAATATTAATAAGGCTATTAGAAAAAGCTTATACACTAGGGCTAAAAAGATTTACTAGTAAGCAGCCTAAATTAATAATATTAAGAAATAAATTAATACTATTAAAAACAAGGTTAAGAACCTTAACTATAAAGTAAATAATCTTAATACCTTTAATAAATTTAAGGCTAGGGATTTTAAATAGTTATAAGACTAGGTTACCTTACTTATAAAGACACTTTACCTTTAGTAAGAGATATATACTACTACCTAAAGCGTTATTAGTAATATAAGCTTAAGTAGTAGAAGTAATAAGTAACCTTACTTAGTAAAGGAACTTAGTAGCCCTATAGGCCTATAAGGAAAAAGGCACTAGGCTAGGGCTATTAACCTAAGTAATAATAATAATAAGTAAATAGTAAGGTTAAAATATAAGTAAATAACCCTAAGGTATAAGGCTATAATATAGGGGAGATAAGAAATAGTAGATATTACTTTTTTAATTAGCTCTTAGAGTATTTAGTAAAAGAAAATAAAGTCTTTTTTAAGGGGGAGCACTTATTATAAGATAAGGTAGTAAGTGCCTATAGTTAGGAGATAAATAGATAGTAAGGACTAAATACCTAATATATATATAATATATTATATATACCTTAGGTATATATCCCTTTAGTAGGTAACCTTTTATAAAAGGAGGGTTAACTATAAATATACTTACTATCTATTACTTATTTTATCTTATATTATTTATTTAGCTCCTTATTATTATTTATCTTACTTTATTACTTTACTGTTATACTTTACCTTTACACTATATTACTTTATAATATTACTATAGCCTAGCTTTATCTTATTAGAACTATAATAGCTACTAGGAAGGCTGTGTTAGAACTACTTTTCTACCTTAATAGGGGTTAGTCTAAAATAATACCTAAATTACCTTAAGATTACTAGCTAACCTTTTTACTTAAAAATATTTTACTTTACTTTAGTAAGCTAGAATTCTTATTAGTTTTATACTTATTTATAAAGGTACTAGTTAATTATCTAATTAAAACGCTATAAGGATAAAAAATCTTTATAAGTTACCTTAACTACTTAGATCTAAAGCTCTATATTATAGTAATACGTTATAAGGTAGTTATAAAAAATAAAGTCTAGTAAGTACCTTTTAGTATTAGTATTAGGCTAAAAGATTCTTATAGTAAATAGTATTTATAGCTAGGCTAAAGAATAACCTAAGGTAGCTATAGTAAGCACTAGTACTACTACTACTTATATTTAAGTAGTTATAGTATAAAAAAATACTACTATAAGCTCTTTTATATTTAATACTAGTAGAAGTAGTATAGCTATAGTTAACTATAAGCTTTTTTACTACCCTTACTAGCTAAGGTTATTTTATAACTAGGCTATACTTATTAAGTCCTAGTGTTTTTATAATTATCTTATTATTAACTTTAACTTTACTAATTAGGTAGCTATAGTTATAGCACTAGCCTTCTTACTAAGGTACTAACTTAAGGGAATTATACTTTTTACTTAACCTTAGGCTAAAGGTAATAAGTATTATATTTACCCTAAAGGTAAGTATATATTTTATTCTTATTAGCCTTAAGTATAGTAACCTATTATAAAGGTATAGGTGGTGTGCTACGCCTGTCAATAGACCATTCTAGCATTACTAAAAGATTAACCAGTTCAGGCACTAAGTGCCTGAAATGCACTACATATGGCCTTATAAAGGGTAACCAGGCCAACCCCCTTACACCTATACTATTTAAAAATTAACTTAGTATAGTAAAAAACTATAGTCTAAGTAAGCCTACTAGTAAGATAGTGTTATAGCTTAGTAGGCTTATAATTTCTTATTTTTTACTTTTTAACTTAGACTATATTATTATAGTAGCTTTTACTTACCTTAAGAATAATAAGTCTAGAGGGATACTTCTTTTTTATCTAGGTATATTACTTATTATAATATCTTTATTTAGAAGTAGTTATTAAGAAGGCTTTTTTTAAGAGGTAAGTAGTATCTACTTAGTTAGGTTCCTTTTTAGTGTAACTAGGTTTTTAAATAACTAAAAGCTTTATAAGTTATTATAAGATAGTTAGATATCCTCTACCTTACTATATAGTCTTAATAAAAGTAGTAAGTTAATTCTTATATCTTTAATAATCCTTTTTACTATATAAAGGGTGCCTTTAATTTAAAAAAGGTTATTAGCCTAACTAATATCTAACTAGAAGCCTTATTACTAGTTATTACTAGAGTAGTATAATATATCCTTATTAAATTCTATAGTTATAAGGGATTATATATTATTATAAAGGCTTTAAGGTAGTTACTAAGTAACCTTATAGGTTAGGTTTTCTTAAAGCTATATATAGAATTACCTAAGGTTAAAGATTTATCTAGGTTAAAGCGTTCTTAGTATACTATATCTTTAAGCCTTTTACTCTTATTAGGGTGTATATATTTCTTTACTATATAGTAGTAAAAAAAAAAACTTAATAAAAATAATAAAAATAATAAAGATAGTAAAAGTAATAAAATAGTATAAATTAAGATAGTTATACTACTACTTAATATAGCTTTCTTAGTAGCTATTATAGTTCTAATAAGATAAAGCTAGGCTGTAGTAGTGTTATAAAGTAATATAGTGTAAAAGTAAAGCGTAATAGTAGAGTAGTAAAGTAAGATAAATAATAATAAGGAGCTAAATAAATAATATAGAATAAGATAGGTAATAGATAGTAGGTGTATTTATAGTTAACCCTCCTTCTATAAAGGGTTACCTACTAAAGGGATATATACCTAGGGCATACGTAACGTATTACGTGTATGTTAGGTATCTAGTCCTTACTATCTATCTGTCTCCTAACTACAGGCACTTGCCACCTTGTCCTGTAACACTTATATTACTTACTATTAAGGATATCCCCTAATATCTTAGATAGAATATAGATAAGACTAGGATTACTAAAGGGGAGGCTTAGTAGTCTTTAGTATTAGGTAAGTTTAGTAGGTAAATAATATATATTTAAGCTTCTAAAGGCTACACTTAGTTAACTATTCTTAAGTGTATCTCTACTAATAGCAAAAGGCTGCTCCCCTTAGTTATTTTTAAGGAAGCTATAGTATAATAGTAGTAGTTTCTTTTTAAGCTTAAACCTTTTGCTTATTAGTAATTTATATTATTAGAAAATAGCTAGACGTCTAATAAGATTAGCCTTAACTAGCTAAAGACTATTTTTATCTTAGTAATAGTAGTAAAGGCTAAAAGGCTTAAATCTAAGACTCTGCTTATTATAAATAAGTATAAGAGCTATATATTAAATAACTTTATATAGGAATACTTTTAGTAAGGTATATACTTACTATACTTACTACTATATACTAGCTATGTTACCTAGCTATTAGATATAGTAGTATTCTCCTCCTTAAAGTAGATATATAGGAGGGAGGCTGCCTTTATATTAGCTAACTATTATACTACTCTTATTAGGAAGTAGAACTTCCTTTACTACTACTTTAAGGTATCTATAGATACCTTTATATCTAGGAATATAAGGGTAGGCTAGGTAGTAATAGGACTATAGCCTATTAATATAGCTAAGCCTTTACTTAGTAAATTTATTAACCTAGCTACTAATACTAATACACTAAAGGCCCCTATTTAGAACCCTAGATTTCTAGCTAAGCCTAGTACACCCTAATAGTTTACTATCTAGACCCCTTAAAAGTTAGAAGACTTAAGGAGATATTAAAGTCTATAGGATTCTTAAGAAGGGGATAAAGAATAAGATTATAATATATAGAGGCTTTTATTTAGTAAGGTAAGTAAAAGGCTAAATAATATAAATACTATATTAGCTAAAAACAGCAAAAAGATATAGTCCCTTAAGGCCTAGCTTCTATAGAGCAAAAGGCAGAGGAAAGGTAAGGTTACCTTAGACCTAAATACTTAATTTACTACTATAAAGTCTATTATTATAGCAAAAGATAAGGCAAAAAGGGATACTATTATAGAGGCAGTAAAAAAGGCAGCCTAAAAGGCACTTAAAGAGGCTAAAAAAGCATTAGTAGAGGCAGAGGCAGCAAAAGCAGCAGCAGAGATAGATATCACTTTATAATAGATTAAATTTTTAATTTTGTATAGGCTACCTATAGTGTTAAATAATGTGTTAGCATAAGCCAAAAATGAGGCAAATTTGATGTGGCCCGTTAAGGGGGGTGGCCCGTTATGTGGGGTGGGGTCTTACCGCAGCGACGTAATCATGAATGGCGTAGTCCGCGAGGCAACGAATCTCCATAGCCATTGATTCGTAGTCGTGATGACCACGCACATAATGAGGATGTCCAAGCTAAAGCTCCATTGAAACAGGTTCTCGTAATGCCTTCGGGGCGCTGTTCGCATGGCATTCCTAACCGGTAGTGGAAGAAGAGTATCTCACCAGGCGGTCCAGTAGATACAAGCCGTAGCGATACACGCATAGCATCACGGTGTACTCCCTGTGTTACGGTCGATGTTGCCTGTGGCGGCCTGGCCAGCAAAAACAAGCTGTCAGTAACAAGTTGTTCAAATGGGCTGCTCAGACGAGGCGGAATGATGCGAACCCGGAAGACGTAACCACCGATGTACCACATTGGGGGAGACCCGATGAGACCGTTGGGGCGACCGACCTTCCGAGCCAGCAAGACGGAGTAGATGACCATACCGAGAGTCTTGGCAATGCTGTATAAGCCCGTGGCGAAAAACTTGGTGTCTGTGACGCCAAGGGTTTCGAAGATGCGAGGCGAATCGAGACCGCAGGCCAGCGCAATGAAGCTACATTTCGGGCGGATAGTGTCCTACCATATGTGATGATGTTGGCGCCCGTCTACAAGTTGGGTAACAGCATATGCCACATGCGAGATGAAGCTGCTGGCATGAACGCACCAAGTTTTGGTAGGCCACGAGAAGCAGACCAACGCCGATCCGGTTGCGAGAGTCTTTCTTGAGGAGGCGATTGGACATTTGCAGCTTGGTCCATGGGGTTGGTGCTGCTGTCTCCCACTTGGCGCCTCATATCGCTTATCTCGTTTTCCATAGTCGTGGTCCACAGGCAGTGTGCGGATGTGGACTAGGACATTCTCGGCATCTTCCCATCTGTCGATCTTTGGTAACCAACGCGGCGGCCCAGGACAGGTGAAGACAGCGCAGAAGAGAAGAATTCCGAGCAGCTATCCGAAGGCCGAGAAGGACAATAAAATGCGTTGGTGTGGTTGACCCAGAAGCCGCATATGACAACTCCCCATGATGCAATCTCTAAGAAAAACGAGCCGAGTGCCATGGTACCACCTATGAAGGAGGTTTCGTAGCCCACTGGGCGGTGTCGGCTATATTAGTCTGCGTTAAGCTGACTCTGAGGCTGTCGATTCTTGGCTGCTCTGCAATGCGGAATTGTAACCAAGGCAGTCAGAGCCGCTTTGGCAGAAGCACGCCTCCGCCCCTTCCCTCCAAATACCCAAATGGACTAGGTTCGAGTAAAAGACCATCTGTTTGTTGCTGTCTGGCGATTTACCATACCAGGATGGCCGATATCTGGACTAGAGATTGATCGCGTGTGGTTGTGGTGCATCAAAACGTGACGAGACCATGGGTGAGAGGCCTAGATCGGATGAGTGATGGGGAGAAAATGGCAGCTCGATGAGATCTGAGAAATTCCATTGGCCAGCGATGCCGGCAGATCCCCGGAAGTACTCTACTACGTACCTAGATGGGGGCAGGGGCAGCTTCCACCAAGTGCCTGGGAAGGAGGTACGTGCAGTCCCTGTCTGCCTAAAGTCGCTTACATGAAGATGTGGGCCACTTATAGTCAACATCGATAAGCGAGCCAATGAAACACGTTGAACGTGCAGGTCACAGCCACTCTTGGCGCTGACTAGTGAAGCCACACCAGGTTCCCTCTCCGAGCTTGATTCGACTGTGGGACTTTTTTTTCTTAATTTTTTTTTTCCCTCTCCCTTCCTTCTCATTATTTCGACCGCTCTTTCCTACTCCGGAAGCCTCTTTTGCCTCATATGAGGTGCTGTCGTGTTTGCCATGGAGTGACTTTCTCTGTCATTCTGCAGGTATCACTCCCTTCTCTTCTCTTCTCCATCTTTGTTCCGATCCTCTCCATGCCATCATCCGTGTCATCTTTTCTCTTCACCTCCACCGCCGGCCGTGGCCAAGACCTTATCGCTTTCGGTCTACATGTTATTGCTTCTCCGGATCATTCAAGTTTCAATTCGTCCGCAGATGGCCCCAGGCGCATCCACCTCGAGAGTGGATGACAGAATCCCAAACGCCCAGACAAGGACCAACGCCGACGCCACTGAGTCCGTTCATCGTGCTTCCACGCCCCAAATTCGACTGACATTGTCGCGTCCTGAGATCATGGCCAACACAGGGTATAACCCCGATCCAACATCCTTCGGGCTATCGACATTTTCCAACCCAAACCTTCTGTGAACCTCTTCTGAGAGTTGTCCCACATGCCAACGTGCTCTGTCGGCGTATTACCCGTCGGATTATCCACCATTCGGGTAACACTCATGGCTGATGAAGCCTTCACCGTCGCCTGCTGCGGTTTGTCCGTTCGCCGAAGAAGAAAAACCGAGTGCCCGTCTGCATCCCCACCCCTTGGCGACTGTCTCGAATCACGATAGTTATCAGGAGTACACCAGTCACCGCCGGTGACCGGTCCGAACCGGAACCGCATGGATACTTACGGTGTCCACGGCATGTCTACTATCTAACTGTACTGGTGCGTACACCCACCCGCCAGAGTGGAACGCCGCACCTGGTGGGGGTTACCATAACAATGGGGCCGCCACTCAATCCCTCGGGCGCCATGTGCGTCTATGGCGCGCCGGGGCGGCCATCGGTCTAGAGTGGTCTGCAAGTAACAGTTCTGGCCAGTTCATATACCAATGTACGGATATATGCGCGCATTGCGGCCTCGAAGCTATGGGACAAAACGTGACAAGGGCCCAGCACTTGCATCAACAGAACGCCAAGGTACAAACATTGGGATTGCCAAGCGGCCGTTGCTCGTCGTAAAGTCTCCATCCAGCCCCTTGTTGCTCGTCGTGTCGTTGCACAGTAGTTTTCTAGGATTGTCCCCGCTGCCACTCAGAAGAACTCGCTTCTTGATGCTCCAATTTAATTCCCCCATCGGGGGGACCTTTGCACTTTTTCCCTCGTGCACAGCCTCAATGCCCAGGCTTTGGGCGGTTACCTCCCTCTCACCTCCTCGCCCAGCTAATCTTGCTAATCAAAGGCTACGATGAGAGCATGAGAGGCATTTCCCGGCATGTCCGCCCCCCTCTCTCTGTCTCTCCATCTGACCTCCCCGTCTCCTTTGCCTCCTTCCCTTCTTGGCCACCTCGCGCCAGACTTTTCGTTCTCGTTACAGTCTTAGTTAGTCCTGCATCACCGCCAAGATTTACCATTGAAACTGCTGTGTAATAGTCGATTGAAGCGCGACCTTCTCCCACCCCTCTCTCTTTCCCTATCATTGTGTCCGATCCAGCCAATCCATTATCGACTGCCAGTGGATCTCGATTGACTTCATATCTTCTTGAACTTGCCAAGAAAGGCATGTGGTTGTGAGCACTGCCACCCTCTCGAAAGTCTTGCCGGCAAACATCCAAACGCTCTTGGAAGTTCTCTTCCCTCATCCCCAGGTCTCGACTCGTGGGACCCAGACTGAAAAACCATGACGGTTGCTCAACTCTGATCACCCGTCACTACTCTTCAACCAGCCCCGTACGCTTCCCGACGGTGACCAAACCATCGCCTCTCACCTGGACCCCTCCCGTTGCACTGCCTCCAAAACGAAGCGTCACACACACTCTACCTTAAGAAAGAGGAGGCATCCAGGCTTACTGTCGGTGTCGAGAAAAAACGAAGAACCTGGAAACTCTACTGGACGGGGCGGAAGGCGCAGTAACCGCGCTATCATCAAGGCTTGCGAAGCCCTGTGCTTGTAAAACCTTTTACATTTCCGTGGTATGCACAAGTCTCGGCCACTTTCTCTACTCTGAGATACGCACCCAGGAACACGCAATTTCTTGCCTCTTCACACTGCCTTGTTGAGTCCTCCAAGCATAACTCCTATAAACACATTCCGCTCGCCAATGTTACACAACCAACGCCCCTGGCTTGACTCTCATCACGAGGCAGTTTCTTCTTAATACTTTCCACCAAATCTCAAAACCAGCATCCTACTTTAGCTCGTTCATGAGCAGTCTTTTGCATCGGCTCCAGACAGCTCTATACCGGTGCTGATGGCGTCTCTCGCCCCCCCTCAGTTGCGTGTCGACACCCGCCATCAACGCGGGAGCGACAACGACGACACGATAGCACCCTCCCCTATCTCGACGCACTCTAATCCTTTCCTCACACCAGCTATCAGCGCGGCAACAAGTGCCGCACCAAGTATGCATTCCACTGTTGTCAACGAAGATCCAGACAGCGCTCTAAGGCCCGACCCCGGCACGGAAGGCGACTTCGTCGTCCCCAACAACCCTTTTGCATTTAGCCCAGGGCACCTCAACAAACTCTTGAACCCGAAATCTCTATCTGCCTTCCAGGCTCTCGGCGGACTCTACGGAATCGAAAAGGGTCTGCAGACAGACCTCAAGTGCGGCCTATCCCTGGACGAGGTGGCCGTCCGAGGACATGTCAGCTTCGAAGAGGCCACCGGTCACAAGGAGCCCACTTTCGCCACTGCAGGTGCTCAGCCGTCAGCCACCACAAGTCACGCCAGTGGGGATGGCTTTACCGATCGCATTCGAGTTTACGGTAGAAACGTGCTCCCCGCCAAGAAGGCAACCCCTTTGTGGAAGCTGATGTGGAACGCCTACAACGACAAAGTCATCATTTTGCTTACTGTTGCCGCCGTCATATCATTGGCGCTTGGTCTTTACGAGACTTTTGGCGCCGAACATGACCCTGATGAAGGCCAGCCGGTCGACTGGGTTGAAGGTGTAGCTATTGTAGCTGCTATATTGATCGTCACACTGGTTGGATCTCTCAATGATTGGCAAAAAGAGCGCGCCTTTGTTAAGCTTAATGCCAAAAAGGACGACCGCGAGGTTAAGGTCATCCGGTCGGGAAAGTCCTTCATGATTAACGTTGCGGAGATCTTGGTTGGCGACGTCATTCACCTAGAGCCTGGCGACCTGGTCCCAGTCGACGGTATCTTCATCAGTGGCCATGACCTGAAATGCGACGAATCCTCGGCCACAGGTGAGTCCGATGCCCTCAAGAAGAATGGCGGTGATGCCGTTTTCAATGCTCTCCAGTCTGGAAATGCGTCCAAGGATATCGACCCTTTCATCATCTCCGGCGCCAAGGTTCTCGAGGGCGTCGGCACCTTTGTTTGCACTTCGGTTGGCACCAACTCCAGCTTCGGAAAGATCATGATGTCGGTCCGCACTGAGATGGAAGCCACGCCCCTGCAGAAGAAACTCGAGGGTCTGGCGATGGCTATCGCCAAGCTCGGAAGCAGCGCTGCCCTCCTGCTATTCATTGTCCTCCTCATCCGTTTTCTCGCTGGGCTGTCTGGTAACACCGCCAGTGGTGCTGAGAAGGCTTCAAGCTTCATGGACATTCTTATCGTGGCCATCACCATCATTGTCGTCGCCGTGCCCGAGGGTCTCCCGTTGGCGGTGACCCTGGCCTTGGCGTTCGCTACCACACGCCTTCTGAAGGAGAACAACCTGGTTCGCATTCTAAGGGCCTGTGAGACAATGGGTAACGCTACCACGATCTGCTCCGACAAGACGGGTACTTTGACTACTAACAGGATGACGGTCGTCGCCGGCACCTTTGGCTCCGCCAGCTTTAGCAAGTCTACCGATGGTGAGAAGGTTACCAGCGCCGTGGAGTTTGCCCAGTCTCTCCCCGATGCCACCAAGAAGCTCCTTGTTCAGTCAATCGCCATTAACTCCACCGCTTTCGAGGGAGAGGAGGACGGCCAAGCCACCTTCATCGGCTCCAAGACCGAGACCGCCCTGCTTCAGTTCGCCAAGAATCACCTCGGTATGCAGGGGCTTGCCGAGACTCGCTCCAACGAGGAAGTTGTTCAAATAATGCCTTTCGACTCTGGCAAAAAGTGTATGGCTGCTGTTATCAAGATGTCTGGTAACGCTGGCTACCGACTGGTCGTCAAGGGTGCCTCGGAAATCCTTCTCGGATACTGTAACCAGAAGCTCAACATCATCGACCTTTCCACCTCTGCCTTGGAGCAGTCCGACCGCCAGGGTTTGGAGGGCATTATCGACACTTACGCCAAGCAGTCTCTTCGCACCATCGCTCTGATCTACCAGGACTTCCCTCAATGGCCCCCTCACGGTGTCAACGCCGACATTGAGGGACACGTTGACCTTGGTGACATTCTCCACGACCTCGTCTTCGCTGGTGTCGTTGGTATCCAGGATCCCGTCCGTCCCGGTGTTCCCGAGGCTGTTCGCAAGGCTCAGCATGCTGGTGTGGTCGTTCGCATGGTCACTGGTGATAACGCCGTCACTGCCCAGGCTATTGCAACCGAATGTGGCATTTACACCGAGGGAGGTCTCATCATGGAGGGGCCCGCCTTCCGCAAGCTCTCCGTTGAGCAGATGAACGAGGCCCTCCCCCGCCTGCAGGTTCTGGCCCGCTCCTCGCCTGAGGACAAGCGCGTTCTGGTCACCCGCCTCAAGGCTCTTGGTGAGACCGTTGCCGTGACTGGCGACGGTACCAACGATGCACCTGCCCTCAAGGCTGCGGATGTGGGCTTCTCCATGGGTATCTCTGGTACCGAAGTCGCCAAGGAGGCATCATCTATCGTTCTGATGGATGACAACTTCACCTCAATTGTCACGGCCCTCAAGTGGGGAAGAGCAGTGAATGACGCCGTCCAGAAGTTTCTTCAGGTATGTATTACACATCAGTCCCCATACACGTGCCGGCACTAACACAATGACACACAGTTCCAAATCACGGTCAACATTACTGCCGTCCTTCTCGCCTTCATCACCGCCGTCTCTTCCCCCCAGATGGAGTCTGTTTTGACTGCGGTCCAGCTCCTGTGGGTGAACCTTATCATGGACACCTTTGCTGCTCTTGCCTTGGCTACGGACCCCCCCACTGAGAAGATCCTCGACCGCCTGCCTCAGGGCAAGAAAGCACCTCTCATCACTATCAACATGTGGAAGATGATCATAGGCCAGGCCATCTTCCAGCTTACTGCCACCCTCATCCTCCACTTTGCTGGCAACTCCATCTTCGGCTACGATCCTCTCAACGAGAAGCAGCAGCTGGAGCTCGACTCATTGGTCTTCAACACCTTCGTCTGGATGCAGATCTTCAATGAGTTCAACAACCGTCGCCTCGACAACAAATTCAACATTTTCGAAGGTGTGCACCGCAACGTCTTCTTCATCGTCATCAACTGCATCATGGTCGGCGCCCAGGTTGCCATCATCTATGTCGGCGGTAGGGCCTTCCGCATCAGCGAGAACGGCATCAGCGCCGAGCACTGGGCCGTCTCTATCATCTTGGCCGCCCTCTCCCTCCCCATCGCCGTTCTGATTCGTCTGTTCCCCGACCCTTGGTTCGAGAAGACAGCCAAGACTATCGGCCGACCCGTCGTAGTTGTCTATCGCGCCTCCGGCAAGTTCTTCTCAAGGTTCGGCGCTGTCTTCCGCCGTAATAAGTCCGCTGACGCCGCCTCCGACGAGGAGGCTCGCGTCTCTTCTGGCCCCGACGGCTCCAAGGTTACTGCGCCTGAGATCATCATCTCTACCCAGCCCGAAGACAACAACACCGCGACTACCAGGGACGACGAGAAGCGCCTTGTCTGAAATGTTTTCTTCGGTCCCTTTCGATCATTGCTTGCATAAATACTTTTTCTCCCTTAACCTGTTACATTGCTACGGCTACGATATGATGTATTCCACGTTTGCTTCTCGCTGTCTTTTCCCTTGGAACGAGTTTACGACCGGTATCATTCTTGTGTGGGCGGCGGTCTCGGCGTAACAAAGGCCTATTCTTTTTGCATTCTTCGGGGCGTTCTGGGCGGACGACACCAAAAACTTACATGTGCAAAGCCACGGGCCTGCCTGTCTTTACTGCATAGCAGCGTGAGCCATTTTACTAGATATTACTGATTAGTCACTAAACGATAGAGCCAATGATACCAGACATGCTACATGTTGTCTGGCATATGTGAATTATAGATTTTGAGTAATGACTATTTTTATGCTTCGTGAAATATGCTACGTGAACTTTGATGGATACTATCAAGGGTAATTTTCTCAATTCAGAATGCATGTGGGCGATCCCGTTGTCGAGACAGTCAGGTTGTACTGACTCAAGCTGCCGGAGTGCGGTATCAGTTTCGGAAAGCCGTGCTGATCCTTGAGCATTGTAAACGTCGCATCGCCACTGCCGATCGGTTAGTTTACCTCGACGGGTGCGCCCTCCCCCCATCCGCCGAAGACAAAAACTTACTATGCCTGCGAGCAGTTTCCTGTGGGGTATGATGTCTGGATCACAATCTCGACTTGATACGTCTTCTCGCCCACCGAGTCGGAGACGACGGAGGCGTTGCGGACCAGGTCCCACAGGACCATGTCCCCCCTCTGCGGGAGCAGCGCCTGCTTGATGCCGAGGATGTTGTTGGACCCGGGGAACGGGTGGCCCTGGTAGAAGAAGTCGCCGAGGTCGTCGGCGGGCCAGAAATCGGTAAAGGTGTCGGTCGCGGACTTATTCTCCATGGTGGTGTAGAACTCCTTGAGGAAGTCGCCGAAGCCCACCTCGACGCCCGCGGCGGGCTGGTAGGACGCCATATCGACCGCGCCAGCGAGGACAGCGGCGAGGGGGAGGAGGGCTGCTGAGGTCTTCATTATGAAATAGATGTATTAGGTTATTAGTGGTGTGTGGTAAAGACTGGATGGACCGCGGACGATGAGCGAGATCCTGGTGATGATCAGGAGTGTGTTTCTTTCTGTCGATGCTGGTCTGTCACTGAGGATGCGGTCTCGACCTTTTTGAAGGACTTCAACACCTCCCATCAACGTCGTACATGGGCTCAAATCAACATCCGGAATGTCGTGGATCACCCGTCGTCTGCCATCGGTGGCGCCGCGTGGAGCTGGATGGTCCGAACGGGGCGGCGTCGCCCTGATAGGGTAGAAACGGGGACATCCAGGGGTGCATCCCGGCTCAGTGACGGCCAACCCGTGGAGGTCCGCGTGGTTTCGCAGCGCTTGGGCTGAAAGAATTTAGAAAGTTTATAAGCGCTACTAATCCTCGGTATGGATTCGTTTGTCATGCTCTATCTTTCGCTAATTTTGACTCGGGTGGAAGAATCCAGAACGCATTATCCGCGCAACTCTAACTGACTCGTCGCTGAGCCTTCCAAAAGATTAGGGCCACAACAAGATTCTCGTCTTATCTCCCCCGGCTTCTCCCCTCCTACTCCGTCAATGACTAGCAGCCGCTGGTTATCTAGACCAATCATATGGGATTCACTTTCTAGACGCTTTCATCTCCCACGGGCTTGACCTGCCCTAGTGCAAAGTCAGGAGGAACAACGCGTCGATTTGATGCTTAACTGACACTAGCTGCTCCCATTTTAAAGAAGGAAAATGTAACGTAATTTTGATGTTTTAGACGCACCCTATATCCGCCCCCTCAGCGTACTTTTCGCCGCGTCTTTTGTTGCAGCAATCGAGTTCACGAGGCGATAGCCCACAACCCGTGTATAGCTCGATTGTTTCCTCACGACTTTCTCCGCAATGAGTTGACGATCTCCCTTTATGGCATACGGCCGGACATCAGACTTTGGAATACCGAGTGCTCAACGCGTACAGTCTTATCGCAGAACACAAAGTGCCAGAATGAGTATGTCCAGATTGACCTTGAGATTTTGAGTGGGATTCATGCGAGACAAAGGATAGAGGAAACCCATATTTGGGCCAATCAGCGCTTTGCTCACCGGCTAAGAAATGCCGTGAGGCTATGCCGGTATATTACATACTCCCCCTATTCTGCAGTCAGATAGAGTTTTGTAGTATAATCTTACCTTATTGTTGCGGCCCAACCAGTTGTGTGCTGGCCGGCGTAAGTATATAATGCAGAGCAGGAAATAGTGATGCACGCACTTTGCACTCAGATCAGAAGGATGCTTCAGTGGTATTAAATACAGCTTTCTGAAGTTAAAGAAGCAAATGGATTTGGCTGTTTGCCCATTACTGCGCTAATTCCTGCCTGGTTTTGTTCCATGGCGATCCGCCGAAAGCATAGACGCCGGCCGGTGGCCGTGAACTCCCACTCCTAGTGGACTCTAGTCCACGGGGTGACGCTGTATTCATAAATAGGAGAACAATGGTGAACCCTTGCTTTCACCGCGCGTACCCTGGGCATTTTATGGGGTATCCCGTGACGTTTTGCTACATTTGACTCTAACAAAGATGATAAAATCTCTAGAACTTGACTTTTTGTAAGATTAGAGAGACAACATTTGAGAAATATACAAACCGGGCCGAAAGGCTATCAACATCCGTCTATAAGGGTGTTGTAATGGGGCTGGGGAAGATGGTCATCTGACATGTGGATGAACCTACAAAGGGATAGAACTATGGCGATAGTCTAGATCGGCAGATAAAGGGATTCGCAGACCTACCGAGATGCAGGAGGAACACCCTCCATCTTCCTTAATACTCCAGACAGAAATACATAGACAGTCATTGCCGTACTTCTTATTCCTTGTGGTGCATGTTACTCTTTCAGGAATTGTGCTGTCGATACTTAGCCTTTTTGAAAATTCCTTTGAGATTAGATCTGAGAATCGCTAGATCTATCCATCTATATAAGTTTTATTATTATCAGACGTTGTTGTGGATGGGAGTGGTTTTCTCACCTGTTTCTTCTTTTCTTTTGTTAGATGGCTATGTTGCCCCGCCCTTTCTCAGTGTCTTTTCTTTTCTATTTGCACCTATCCTCTAGGCAGGCAACACCAACGTAAGCAACAAATTAAATCTTAGCCTTAAGAGTGTGTATACAATCTTGTGCTTGGCGGCTAGCGGTTGGCGCTTAGAATAACACGCCAATGACAAACGCCCCTTCATTCATTTACCTCCTCACCCTGCTCACCCTGTTCACCACAAGTGTCACCCGAGCAGGCAACAAAGCAGCCAGAACAAGGTAAGGAGTTGGCTGAGGTGACCGCCTCTGGATAACGGAGTATGGTGCCACATGGCCAAAGACTCAACCGAGCTGCCATTCCTCCGCCCACCAATCACCGTAACCCAATATCTCCGGTCCCATGATGAGATCTCGGCAGCGCCTCTCGGTGCCTAGCGACCGAGATTTCCTATTCCAGACACTGTTCTTCCTTGGCACTAATTAGTTGCCAACCGTTTGAGGACTACGCATGCTTTGCTTCCCAGCACTCTTGCGCAGGGGCTCTTTTATGTCGGCAATGTGGCTCCCAATTAATTTCGCCAGCGTGGATGCCATGCCCAGCGCCCGATTCAGGCATCCCGGATGAATGCATCCCACCATAGGGTGTTCTTCTCTGTGCTCGTGATGCATAGTTGCCGCATGGTAAGCAGATTCGTCACGCAGGAGTTCGAGGAGGAATGAAGAGATTACTTGGTTCTCCAGCCTTGACTTGGTCCAGACTCGGAAGACGGCACAGACATACCACGCTAATGTCTCTTCGCAACGGGCTCACGATGGCACGATGCCTTTCTCGATGGTTCAGCAGTATTCGGACTAATACATTGGGCTGGTAGTTAATATCTGTCGAAGTTCTTCTGCAACTGTTGGCTTGGTGGCTGTGGTGCCGGACGAAGTTCTATATATGCCGCGCTTCTCGCTTCCTTAGAGCGCATTCTGCCTGTATTACCTGCCAGCTCACCATCAACCAGGTTTGTGGGATCATCTGCATAGTTCTATTACCGCCAACTTACCTGAGCAAGTACCAATATGGGCAACCTTAACCTTTCCTCTCTTCTTTTGGCACTTGCAGCCATCGTTGCGGCTCACGGCCATGTGGACTGGCTTGTGGTCGATGGTGCTGTTGCCTACCGCGGTTGGGATTCTCCCGCCTTCACCTACTCTGCTCCCACATACCCCGTTGTTGGCTGGAAGATCGACGCTCCTGACAATGGGTTTGTCGAGCCCGCCAATTTCGGAACTGGCGACATCATTTGCCACAAGAACGGCAGCCCGGCAGGCGGCCATGCCACCGTCCCTGCCGGAGCCAAGATCCAGCTGATCTGGAACACATGGCCCGACTCGCACAAGGGTCCCGTGATTGACTACCTCGCCAAGTGCAACGGAGACTGCGAGACTGTCGACAAAACCTCTCTGAACTTCTTCAAGATTGGCGCTGGTGGCGTTGTCGACATGTCGCTCGCGAACGGCAAGTGGGCTGACGATGTGCTCATTGGTAACGGCTTCACCTGGACTGTTCAGATTCCGACCAACCTTGCCCCCGGGAACTACGTTCTCCGCCATGAGATAATTGCGCTGCACTCCGGAGGGAACCCTAACGGCGCTCAGGCGTACCCCCAATGTTTCAACCTACAAGTCACCGGCGGGGGCTCTCTCGCCCCCGCCGGCGTCAAGGGTACTTCGCTGTACAAGGCCAACGACCCCGGCGTCCTCTTCAACATCTACACTAGTCCTCTGGTCTACCCGATGCCGGGCCCTACGCTCGTAGCAGGCCTCCCGTCAACGGTTGCCCAGAGTACCGTCCGACCGATCGCGACATCAACTGCCACGCCTCCCGGAGGCAACCCTGGCAACGGTGGAGGCGGCGGCGCCACTACGACACTACGAACAACTACTGGACCAGCGCCGGTGACTACCACAAGAGCCGCAACAACCACGACAAGTGCTCCTGGCGGCGGCGGCGGCGGTGGCGCAACTGTGCCTAAGTACGGCCAGTGTGGTGGCCAGGGGTGGTCCGGCCCGACGACCTGTGCCTCAGGATCTACATGTCAAGCTCTGAATGACTTCTACTCCCAATGCGTCTAGTCTAAAATTCGGGAATAAATGCAATCAAACTGCTTCATAAAGCCTGAAGTGAAATAGCTCCCTGATTCGTTTCATTATATAGTCCATGCGGAGGCCTAGGACCTCAACTTGAAGTTTATAGTCAAGACACAGTCTTCTCAGAAGCATTCTTAACTCTGTGATCCTAGTAACATGTGTTCAAATTCATCTTGACGTCTTTCATTGCAATCGCAACGAATCAGTCTAAATTCTTGGGCTACTCGAGAGGGTGTGACTCTGTTTCCCTGTTTTCACATATACGTACATAGTCAGTCTCCAGGCCCCACCGGCAGCAGTATTAAACTTCAACACCCTTAGCCGCATCTAGTGCCCTGTTTTCTATAACCCGCCGACGCATTTCTCATTCCTTGTTGGCGGTCACTCTTCTCTTAATCCGTATCTTGACGCCATCTGGTGGAAAACAGGCCTCGGTCACCCGATAGTTTTTAGGGCGGTTGCCGTTATACTCCGGAGGAAACTCCACGTCGTAGTGTTCCAGCACGTAGGCGATGATCATCTTTAACTCAAAGTCAATTAGGAAGCGACCAGGGCATGCATGCTTTCCGTGACCAAATGGCAGGAACTCGGGACTGGTTGTGACGAAGGAGAGTGGGGGTGTCTTTTCGGCCTTCGCGGCGGCGTCCTCCCGCATGCGGGAGAAACGGAAAGGATCGTACTTCAGGGGGTCTTCAAGCAACTCGCCGTCCGTGTGCACTGGCAGTCCGAGGAAAGAGATCATGGTGCCCTTGGGCAAGTGGGATCCGTCCGGTGCCTTGAAATCATCGACCATGACCTTGCGGAAGACAGCGCGCCCGCCGAAGGAATTAAGTCGTAAGGTCTCCCTTGCCACGCTGTCTGCCTTGACCATTTTGCTGACCTTGGCCTTTGTCCAGTCGCCGTTCCCGTCGGCGTATAGAGCACGATTGACCTCATCCCGTAGAGTAGCCATGGTGTTGAACTCCGAGTCTGAGCCCAAGATGTTGAGTAGCATGTTTGTGACTTGAATGCTGGTTTGATGCATGGAGCCAAAGTTGGCTGCGATCAAGCGTCGTGTCATGATGTCGATGTTGTTGAACTCCTCTGGGCGATGCTCCTTGGCGTAACGGGCCATCATCTGCATGTGGTCTTGTGGTTCAACATGGTTCGGGTCGTCTCGGTCGTATTTTAACGTCTCAATACGCTTTTTCCAACCCGGTTCAAACATTCTCCTGAGTTTGTTGATTTTACTTCGCATTTTGAAGTTGATCAGAGTACCGACTAGAGGCCGCAGGATTCGAGGACTGGCACCCGAAGCTCCTGCATTCAAAATGAGCTGGTCGACTATGTCAAATGATAGGTTCAGGTACTCTTCGTTACGGCCTAGTAGTTGTTAGCACATGAGCCCAATACCCTGTATAGAGTACCTACAGAGATCAAGGCCAATCGTGAAACGACTGGCTGCCTGAGCCACAACCATCTTGACCGACTGAAAAAGATCAATCTCCTTCCACTCTTGGTCAGTCCCAAACCATTTATCAAAAGCAACACCGAGCTCGTCATTCAAGGCGGCACAGATGTTCTCCAGCACAGCGTTAAGTTCAGTCTTAACCAAGGTTCCTTGCCATGCGTCCACAACGTAGCGGTCGTGCCCAAGCGCCCAGGACACCTGGTCGATCTCGCTAAAGGCTTCGTTCAGATCCAGTTCCGTTTCTGGTCGATTCTGCACCCAACGCATATAACTGGTAGGCATAATTACGTCATGACGAAATCCGAGTCCGGGGACGACCACCAGCTTGCCTTTCTTGGCGTACTGAACCTCGAGTTAGCTGGATTATAGAATATGAGTGCCATTAGCGAAATACATTATCGTAAGCCTCCCGAAACACGCCTTCACAGTCTGTATAGTATCGCCAGTATGTACGAATACTGAATCTCGTTGCGCCGTCGGGCTCACCAACGAGTGAAATTCCTTTGGGATACGGGATGCTGTAGAAAGCTCGACTGATGAGGTATAAGAGTACAACAAGACCGAGCGCTGACAGGCTGATACCTGACATGCTCGTGACGGCCGGCAAAAGATGCGATATAGGCGCCATGATGGGTTAAAACTTTGGGGTTTGCCAAAGCGGTTGAGGAGCGCAAGAGAGAATCCTCAGACCCAGTACATTCCCATGTTGAGGGGAACTTGGGTGTTTTATTAAGCAGGCTGACAAGCTTCTCACGCATTGGTGGGAGGTGAGCGAAAGTTAAGCGCTAGGTCAGACAGGAAACGAACATGGATGATCCGCCCTTAGCGCGCCCGCTTCTTTTCAGCTTTGGTCTCAAGAGGCTGCTGAGTCAGACTCACACGGCCTAGGATTATGCTCCTACCATTACTTTCAGGCCAATAACAACAATGGCCAAGGTTATTGCAATCTAGCTGGCAGTACTCCAGTGATACGAAACAATACATCAATAAGGATGGTCAGATGTGAGAGCACAACAGCGAGAAGTGAGGCAATCGATAGGATTGCTGATCTAAGTGGTGGTGGTAATGGAGGAAAAGCCTCCTCAAGGCTATGGGCAGAGGCTGGAGAAGGTGAGGGGCCCGGGAGGTCACGGGACCTCCACAGCACACGGGCCCCCTCACAACATCAGATCTGATAACAACTGAAATTTGATGCTGTTACCCAGTTTCTACATCAGCAGCACGACAATGTGTTCTGTCGCAAAAACGACGCCGTTAATGGTAGGCAGCAATTAACGCCTAATATACCCTGCAACACCCTGCGAAATGTTCCCACTTGACACTAGCACTAGCCCCTGTAAGCAGCCACAGTGACCAGAACGAGTAATGCATCTTTCGCCACTTGCATCAGTGCACACTTATGCATATTTTTGAGACGTAGAGCTCCGGTGCTACCCTGGATTGAAACTGCACAGTGTCCTGATAAAAGCAATGATCTAAAACTTGTTGACAAACATCAATCTCAGCAAAAAGCTGGACGATCAGGGAATCGAACCCTGGACCTACCGCATGCTAAGCGGTCATTATACCACTAAACCAATCGCCCATAGAGACTGACTTGACAAGTATATTGGACGTATCAACTCAACTAGGGTAGCATCGCAAGACCTTTTTTGACCCGCTAGGCATCACATGTCAACGAAGTAGTTACACATAGATTTGTTAGATTGATAATAAGCTTGAAACAACTCGGTTCATCCAATGATCCCTATAGGCAAAATTCTATTATACCTAAACAGAAGCGATGCTAGTGTCAGCTCCACCAGCCAGCTGTTTCGCGAGTTAGAAGTTGAATGACTGTGGGACTGTTATGATGTTCGTTTAGAACTTCGCAATAGGCATTTAAACAATTCCAGCAATCAAAAGAAGAGTTAAGTCTTGTATTGTCATTTGGCAACCTATTGAACATGCATCAACTTGTAATCATTAATGAGATGGGACATTCCACACAATTTACTTCCGGGTTGACGCTTTCAAATATTTCAATCTGCGCTGTTCAATAAACTTAAGGTCAACCTTCCCTAACGTGACGTGTCCATATCTTTCTGATGTGTTACGTGCTAGGTTCAGGTACGTGCTACCAGGAAAAAGAGTTTATAGTGTTGAATAATTGATGGTCGAGCTATCATATAAACATGCCTATCTATTGGGAGTTTCTTGCCTCGAGACACAGTTCTTGCTTTACATGGATGTTAATGAATATAGAAAACTTAATCTTGTTAACATTTAGTGCACGACAGTAATTGGTTCAAAAATCCCACAAAAAGTAGCCCCAGCTTGAAATGATAAAACTGAATAATGCGGTTGAATTATCTTCATGCCCCGAAGAAAACAAAACGTTACACTTGAATCTAACAGACACCAACAACTCCCCCAACCTCATGTTTTCAATAATCAAGGCTTTTGAGATATACCGATATTTGATGTACTAGAACATGAATATCAAAGTCAGCCACAAATAGTTAACGGTCTTTGATCGATCACTAACATGGTGGCTCTAGTACGTGTTGTTAGGTTTATGCCGAGAGCTTGCCTCAGTGAGGGTTATTTAGACACATACCATTACTGTCTGAGATCTGATGGACTCTTATCCTTAATCATGATCTCAAGTTCCAGCCGATCCTTTACAGAATGACTTGTGACCACGATGTTGACGTCCATCGTGTTTGGGAACGTGTATGGATCTCCAGGGTTATCGGAAGGGAAGAACCAATTCTTGCTTTCCTTTCCGTCGTTGTACTTGATCTTGTAATGTGACCGAATGGGCTTGAAAAAGCCCCTCTCAGGAGACTCAATGCCGATGCAGAACGATTGCAATGCCTCCATCTCTTGCCAGCAGAGCATAACGTCGTCACGGCCGCTCTTCCCAAAATAGCATCCTTTCGTCCATGACATGATTGCCTCTCCGCCTCTTGTTAAGACTGTGGAATCAGGTAGCTCCTGAATCATCCGCACATCAGGTGCAGTAGGGAGCGACTGTTCGACAAGGTCGAAGCTCTTCGACGCCAAGTTGACAAAAGTGAAAGAATGGTCAGGATTGATCATCTTGAATTCAAGGTTGTGCATATCGACTGACTATCGAGCCACTTTGTCGGAAAATTGTCCCGCTTATATGTCGAAAGGTCATGAAAATATAGAGGCTTAGTGAGTCAGTTAAGTCTTACAGAAACTTAAAGGTGTGGTGGAACCTTGTTGAGAACGAAGATGAGGCATAACCAGGGAAATTCCGCCAATAAGGGTAAAACAAGCAAGGAATGTACGGATCGGCAAAACTGCCAAAGGCTGACACTTGCTGGGAATCCTGGTGGCAAAATCCTGCATTCAGACTGGAAATTAGCGCCCTTGGTGTAGGCTAATGACTAAATGGCTTTGCTGCTTTGTTCCCGTTGACTCCATTGGTAATAGCATGTGAACTATCTCGGGGTGCTGATGCTCCGATGGCCTAATACGGCATTTGAGCATAGGCATGTGAGTTTGCAGTTGGAATACTGTCGCTAGCTGCTTGAAGACGCTTTTAATAGGTTTATAGATTCAGATGTGGCGTCTTCTTTAAGTCATTCCAGTCCACCGCGTTCAGCTAATAAAGCAATACGCAGTAGCGAATTACCCTAGTTCTTCCAGAAGCCAGCAGCCTATGCCTATTCAAATTCTAGCAGTCGAGTTTTCAGCTTTTATCAAATTTCCTCATAGTTCAAGGAAGCCTTTCAGTCTTAGACTACTTGTGGGAACTCGGTCTAGATATGTTCTGTTTGCTGTCGTCCCGCATGCGGTATCGCTCAAGATGACGTCACAGTAAAACAGTATCTTTGGGGCTGAGAATCATTCAAAAAGTTTAAGCAGTGATGTTCGAGGCCGTTGAAGGCACGGCGATTGAAGATATTCATTCTCTTATGGGTTGTACATGTATTTCCTAGACAGAGGCTTACTGTCACCCAGCTCAGCTATGGGTAAAATTCGGCAGTATGGCTAGGCCAGCGGTCTCTCGATGGTACCATAAATGAATTAATGGTATCATCTTCATCTTTTCCCACTTGCTTGATATTTACTTTGTGTTTAGTAACTTCAAGCACGCCATGCATCTGTCACAACACAACGAAAGGTGGCTCTTAAAGACATTCTAGTTCAATTCAACGCCTATCCCGATTCTTGCAAGCGATTGTAGTACTAGGGATGTAGCGGATTGTAAAATTCATCTTAGTATTGATCGCCAAAGTTCTGTATATATACCGTGGCAAATGCAAACCACCCGGTCATATTGTGAGCATCAAGTCTACAAACAGGCTCCAAGATCCGCCAGTAGGTCCATTGCAAGAATGTCAATTACCCCGCTTCGTTGATCCTCAATTCCAAATGAAATAAAAAGTACGTCGTCTAGGAAACCATGGTATTTCAGATCCCTTTGTTTCCAGCTCATAGATGTGACGTAAAACATGTCAGCGCCTCCATCAAGCCTTTCCACCCTGCCATGAATCCAAATTGGCTTTTTGGACACTGCAAATACTTCAAAGGGTGTATTTTGCCGAAATACCATGACATACGGCTCATATTCACTATGAAAGCGGTAAAACGTCTTGTGTTGGAATACCGTGAATAAAAACGTGTTGTCGCCGGTGGCCTTGCAGGTCGGGTCACTCCTTTTGCAAAAGGAGATACTGAGTGAGTTGGTCGCCTGATGTATGGACTCCAAGTCCGGTGGTAGCTTTGGCATGTACTTGCTTAGACACGCCTCGTCCCCAGCTGCCAAGGGCGCAAGGTCTGGCCCCACCGAGCCGTCCGCGTTCAGTTTGGCAAATACCCGTTTCGGTGCGACGTCTTGGTGAATGTAGGCCGCTCCATCCTCGTCCCAGAAGAGAAACCAATTTTTCTCCATTGTGCCCCAGGGCGGGGGACGCTGAAGCTCTGTACCAATGGCAAAGCCTGAGTCCAACCCCATTTCAAATCCCCAGTCTCCGAGTTTGCGGAAGTCTTGTATGAACTGCCCGAAGCATGCGAACCTCGAGTTAGAACCAAAAACGATAAATGGAGATTTTGGACCATAAAACACGCGCGCATCGTGAGGTCCGACATTAAGAGCCATATAGGCCAACTGAGTGGGGCATTTGCCTTCGCCACTTTTTGTAGCGGTAATAGGGAGGACGGACGATGGCTCAACGCAGGTCAACTCTCCCAACATAAAGACTGCATTGCAAACCAGCTCCCAAAACTCTGGTGTATTATCTATTTCGCTTTTTTGTGCAACGATGATGAATGTGTTGTCGAGTTTGGGATGGGGTAAGACATTGGGGTTGATTGCTTCTTCTTGGCCAAAATGTATAGGAAAGAACTTTCTGTCCACTGTTGATGTTGAAAATATCTCATGATATTTTTTCCTTGCTGGTATAGGAGATTCCACTTCAATCATGCCTTCTGGATGAGTCTCCGAGTCCGAGGGCAGCAGTTCTTGGTGAGGCTTGAGTTCATCTTTCTGTTTCCAATTTGTGGCAAAGACGTAATCGTACCAATGGTCGACCGCAGTTAAAGAGTTCCTGGAGTCGAGACAGCGTATGCCAAAGTAAACGAGGAAGATAAATGGGCCGATGGTGAGGACGACGCGCTTGAGGTCCCTTGCTAGCATTGCGAGTGGCTTTTGTCATGGGCTGAGGCCTTGGACTCGTGCAGCTAAACAGAGCATTCAATGGCACTAGGATCAAGGTTGCAACGAGAAAAGGCAGGTGAGAAAATTCGTCTGTCGACTTGCTTCCGCTACAACACAGTCAAGCTTGACTGAGATTTGAAAGTCGGTAAAAGGGGGCTCCGGAGCAACGGCACGAGCAAAGCTCTGCCTACAGTGTACTGATTCAAATCCGTCGCGAAATCAGGGTTGGAGCAAGCAGGGCCACCAAACTATGCGGGGTAACGGAATACAGGTTAATTTCGATAGCCATTATCGGGAAATGTGTGCCCTATTATAGGGATCGGCGGACTAGTCGCACCCAACAAGTGAATATGACCAGGCACCTGGGCTTCCCCTCACTTGCGAGAACTTGTTGGACCTTGACCCTAGCCACCCACGTTCCTAAGGCCGAGGGTCAAGTCCATTGAGACGCATAGATATTATCGATGGCTTGTTCATTATACAAAAAGGTGCAAATGAGAGCAATGATTTGCTCAAGGCTTGTCAATCTTGTCTCATAGGCATGTGAGAATGCATATGCCTCGGTGTGTTGCGCGAAACCCCTGCCAGTTTTGCGTTTCCTTTTCCCCTCACGGCCGTCCAAGCCAGTTCCAATTCAGGCAATGCATCCGTTCCTGCATAATCACTGGTTGTAATGTAGGATGCAGTAGTACATCGGAAAGAGGATGCACAAACACGAGATAGCAGGGTGTCATGTATCACTTAGCGTGCCATAAGCCTCTTGAAGGCGGAACTCACCTCGGGAGTGCGTGACTGGTATCCTGTCTATGCTTCACGTTAAGCTTTTCAGTCTGCGTGGCAGGCTCATTGTTGGTACACCACCATGGACACTCAAGCCGGGACTAAGGACAACTACAAGCTCTGGCAGTCTATCTGCCCTATCATGAGATGGCTCTGGTAGCACGAAGGCTGTGATTTTGGTGTATCGGACTATTAGGTTCTCTTGATTTTAACTGTTGAATGATAGATGTATATACTACGTTCCATTTCTTTTCTCAATGCGTGCCGGAATGTCTCTCGATTGATCTGAAAGATATATTCTAATCGAGCACGTCGCCTTAGACCCAGGCTGGCGTTGCCGAAGTATTGAGTGTCTTTCTGTACATCCACTGAGCAAACCTGACGCTAGGTTCATCGATATATCTCGTGACGAGATCTGCCAACCAAACAGTAAAAGGTAGGATGACCAGGTGGGGGAGGAGAAAGGCTGGCTCCAATCCAAGAGGGCCAATCTTTGGCAAGGGAAACTTCTCAACCAAGTGTGCCAGGTTTTGCTGTTCCGAGTCTTTGTAGTAGCCGGCAATTGTATAGAGGCGATCCCCCAGCGTATTCAAAACAGGTCCGTGGACCAAATAAAGAGCAAACGAGATCCGTCCAAGATACTGGCAGAAGCGTGTCTCGAAGAACCTTCTCAGCCACCAAATACGAGGAATAGAGGCTACGAGTAGCACCGCAGCCCAGAAAAGGTAAAACCACTTGTAATCGAAGACGGCTTGAGGTTTGAGGAAGGAAAGGTAATACCATCCACGGTTTTCGCGCATCCTCATGACATCACCGGTATATGACGGGACGCCACCCAGGTACATTGAAATGAGGAACAAGTGATAGAAGATGAAAGTTCTGGCGGGCTCCAATCTTTTGAAGATATTCGGTAGGTCGTTCTTCTTCGCCAGAGAGTCAAGATCGCAAAGAACCATGCCCATCACGAACATGGCGCCGTACCATCCGTCCGCGATGTACATGAAGTAGAATGCGAGTCCAGCCTCGCACCAAAGCCGGGCATTTCTGGTACATCGAGAAAATGCGAGAAGTGCGGTGTATATGATGACTGAGCCTTTCATTTCAACTGGGATTGACCAAAGGTGAGGGTTCCAGCTGAAGAAAGGGCTCCCTCCAGTAGTGAAAACAAAGCTGAAGTTTTTCAGCTCGCAATACCAGAGCCATACATCTTCTATCCAAGTCGATGCACGATCTTTATTGTCAACCCAAGTACCAGATAGGTGAAGGAGCCCCATGTAAATGAACGTGGTAGCCATAAAAGGAAGATATAGTCTGATCCATCTCCTGAACAGGGCCGAGCCAAGGTTTTCCGCCAACTTGCCATGATCCCCGGACTGAATCAAGCCCAGCGGTTTGGCAGAGAGGACGTAACCAGAGATGACGAAAAATGTTGACACGGCGAAATGTCCACCAGTGAATAGATTTCGTATTCCAGGAAAGGCGACAAAGTAGTACTTGTTTTCGTAGCCAAAGGAATTTTCGAATATGCAATTCTGGATATGCGGCTCGTGTGCCCAGAGTTCGTGATGGTGCCAGTAGACCAGGAAAGCCGCGAATCCTCGTAGCCCGTCAAGATAAGCTGTAGGTCGTAAAGCATGCGGTTGCTTTGCATATCCAATGGGCCAGATGAAGGACTTCAGGCGGGCAAGGCTCAAGCGTGAAAGCCGCTTGCTTCGTGTGGGTGTCGTTAGCTTCCTGTCGACGCCTTGAGCCAGCCATTGAGATTTTGCAGACCAATTTGGCTTGATTTTGTCCCAATCTTGACTGTCAAGAATGCCATCATTTCTGGGAGACATTTTATGTACTTGCGAGATGTTGCATACGACGAGTGGTTGATGTGAAAAGGTTGACGTTTCAGCCTCAATTTCTTGGCGATGTCGAATGCGTGCTGACGGGTGCTGTCTGTGATTGTTCAAAGGATATTCCAGGACTCTGCATGGGCTCAATGCCAGTTGTCAACGAAAAGCCACCTGCAAAGAGGTGTAGTTAGGCTTAGCGTTGATCCTTGCGCTACTTTAATAATAAATACGATTGTGTTTGCCTTTATCAAGTTGTTCGTCCAAAGTTCACAAGCAAAAAGAGTATCAATTACTGACTGAACAGGGCGAACCTTGGGATAGTTCCGAGGTCGAATGTTGAAGTATGCGGGGTGATGGGCTTGCTCTAGGACCAACGTTCCACTGATCGTCCGGGGGTTCCTGGTTCAAAATGCGGGGAACTGACAAGGATAGAATGCAGAGAGCCAACTACAGAATCCCAACTAAGTGAACAAAGCCAATGGTGTGAAGACAATGCCACCAGAATCCCTTCCTCATGACGCATATCACATTTATTGGATGTATGATGGTCGATTGGTCCCTCTGGTCTTTCAAATGATGTTGCATTGGTTGGTTTAGTTAGGTAAGTAGTCCGACTTGTAAACCACAATGCCGACCGAAGCACACTCGGCGAATTAAATCGCCTCAGGGTTAGCTCTTGGAAATCGAATACTCTTGATTGGGAAGGTTACACCACCTGTCACTCCCTGACCATAGTTGCCGGTGATTCCGGTGGTCACGATCGTCCAATTGATTCTCAAACCAGCTTGGTCTCCCGGCCCTATTATAGCGCGAAATGCAGACGGCTACAATGAGTGCTTCTCGTCACGTCGGCGCATTCTGAATGGCTAAATTCCGGGCTGCTTGCTTGAGATAGTGGCCTATCGTCCCCTTTGAGCCGTGTAAATGAGAGAGAGCGCTGTTGAGCTCCCGTTGTTGCCTCTCTCGTATAGGGAAATAAGTGGATGTCTTCCCATAATTCATTATACAAGCGCAATGGGGGCGTCAATCAGGCCTGTACGGGACCAACACGATACAAACTCATTGAGGAAACCTTGGCGTTGCCCCCTCTTCTAGATCCCTGCGCCTCGGCTCGTGAAAGTGACATATGTGCGAAGGGATTATCTGAAGACGAGTAGGGGAACATTGGAATGGCTGTAAGGCAATCCCCGCCTCGGCGAAGAGGGTAACTGGTGTCGCGTGCCTACATGCAAGGAGCTCCTTCAAATCTTCACATGTACCCCGCTAGCTCCCCTTTATGTTCGTCGCATTTTTCTTTCCCAAAGCTTATCCCAAAAGCTTTTTGTTTCTTCGGCTGAACACATCCTTAGGCTTGCGATACCCTCAAGCAACATGTCTTCACCTATTATGAGCCCTTTAAGTCCAAGGAGCCCAATAGGCTCAACGAAAGCCAACCTCTTCAGAAACAGAGTTCCCACGCAACTTCGGAGATGCATAGCCTTGTACATAGCTTGTATATGCATAATTCTTCTTGTTGCAAACCTTGACTTGTTTGGGTCGGTGCCAAAGCCGGTCCACCTCTCTAAACGACGCAATCGGCATTCATCAATAAGCAACCGAGCAGCATTTCCCAAGAAAATATGGCAGTCTTGGAAGGTCGCACCGTTCGCTTTTGAGGCCGAGCAGGTTCTTACCGCACGTACTTGGACCGACAAGAATCCTGGTTACCGGTACGAGGTTCTCACCGACAACAACGACATGGAATACGTCGAAGAGCATTACGGCCCCGATGGATTTGACCGCCCAGACATTGTCGACATGTACCGCAACGTAAACGCTACCATAATCAAGGCCGATCTTCTTCGCTACATGATCATGTACGCGGAGGGGGGAGTCTATGCGGATATTGATGTCGAGGATCTTCGACCCGTCAGCAGATGGATTCCAGAGCGGTATGCCGAGGCGGATATCGACCTCGTTATCGGTGTTGAAATCGATCAACCACATTTCAAGAATCACCCAATTCTTGGCAAGAAGTCCATGTCCTTCTGCCAATGGACGTTCATGTCGCGTCCCGGTCATCCAGTCATGTTGAAGCTCGTTGAAAACATCATTGCGTGGCTCAGTGACGTCGCAAAGTCCCAAGGCGTTACCATATCGGAGGTCAAGCTTGACTTTGATGAGGTCATCAGCGGCACCGGACCCTCAGCTTTCACCAAAGCCGTGCTGGATGTGATGAGTGCGAGGTCTCACTCCGGACCAATAACATGGGATACCTTTCACGATATTGACGAGTCGAAGGTCGTGAGCAATATCCTAGTCCGCGACGTTGAGTCGTTCGCTGCAGGCCAAGGCCACTCCGACTCAGGAAACCATAATTCCAGAGGTGCCCTTGTCAAACACCATTACCATGCTTCGAACTGGCCCAGCCGACACCCCAGATTCAGACACCCCATCTTTGGTGAGGTCGAGAGGTGCAACTGGAACATTGAGTGCGTCATGAAGTGGGATCAAGACATCGCTGCATTCAATTCACTTCCTCCCGAAGAGCAAAAGCAAGAAATTGAAAAGCACGATAATCTGCAGAGGCTTCAGACACAACAAGCTGAGCAGAAGGCCGAGGAGCAGAAGGATGCTGCAAATATGGCGCTACATATCCCACCCCAACAACCTCTTCAAGCTCTTGCCCAGCAGCCTGCACTGCAAGAAGAGTTGAGATTGAAGTGAATCATATCCTTGCTGTCTTACCTGAAAAAAACGACAATAGCAAGATATATCACATTACCTTCATATAGGGGGTAGCCATTACGAGTAGAGTCAGAGGCCATGGAGCCAAGATCAATGCATGCTAGAGAAGGACTCTTGGTTTTGTTTTGATGAAACGTTACAAGTCAAGAGTTTGAAGCAATGGTCGGAGGTGCATCACTTGGGTACAGAATCATATACAGTGCCTGGGAACAACCTGTTTAAATAACTGTTCAGGTCAAGTCCTGCCATGTTCTGTTCCTCACATCTCGATGACTGAACAAAGAAACAACTCATCTTGCCAAACACGAGCACCAGAACAGATAGATACAGTTGAAAAAAGTCAAAAATAAGAGCAAAAATTACTGCAGATGATCGTAAAAGCCATTGGTATTCTTGGTAGCTTGAAATTATCCATACCAGCTTCGGCGAGAAACTGATTTGACAAAACAGCATGTCGTCACGATATATAACTACAGTTGTGGCAGTGATAACTGTGGACCAATTTTTGTCATCACACAATATATAAGCCATTCAGTAGTCTATAAGAAAACAGATCATGTACATCATAGCATTGGCTTGTCTGATGATCAAAAACATAGAAAAGAAGTGATGTCGAATACTTGAAACCATTTCTATTGGCTGTACATCAGTTGTCTTGCCGCTTTACGAGTACTCAAATCGCAGCTCGTAAGTTCTGTTGAATGATAACTAAGTATTTTGAGTCCAGGTTTATACTGAATAGTTTATTACTTCTTCATGTTTAAGTACAAATCTGCTATATCACTAATCGATTGCATATTATACTTTTGGCAGTTGATGACATTTTGGCGCTAGGTATACTTAGAAAATAAGTTTCTGCCCAGCCTGTCCAGGCACAGTTGCGACGATTTTGGAAGAACCGAGGAGCATGTAAGAGTAAGGAGGAGAGTTGGCGTTCAAGCTACCAACGGGAGCAAGGTTGGAAGCACCGCCCAGATCGTTGTCAATTGCTACAGCGTAGCCGACGATGTCAGAGTCCTGGGAGGTAATCGGGACGGTGACATTCTTGAAAACGTTGCTTTGGATAAGGACCTGAGCTTTCTGTCTGGTATTGATGGCAGAGTTACCACTGCGAATTATCAGTAACTATTTGCAATTAGAAGATTAAAGTATAGAACATACTTCAGATAGTAAGAGTTGTAGATGTGGCCGGTGCCGAATCGCAAGGACGGACCGCGAGAGCCAAAGTTGGCCCAATAGTTATTGGCGTAAGTGATTCTAAGGTGACCACTATCCTCGTCACCGTTGTTCTCGCTGTGACCAATCAAGGAAGTCTTCCAGTGGTCATGAAAGTACGTGCTGGAGGATGTCATTATGAATGTTTTCTGCTTGACCGATTGGGAAGTCGACGTACTAAGAAATGGTAATGTAGTCGGCTCCGTGCGAGGCATCCACTTGGCCGTCATAGTAGTCCTTATCAGCCACAAGAGCAGAGCTGAACTCGCTGTGATCAATCCAAATGTTGGTGCTCTCCTTGAAAAGTATGTTGGTCAGTCTCTCGAGCGCAATTTGTTTATTCCCCATGTTCCGTACCATACCTCAATTCTAACACCGTCACCAGTAGAAGCCAGTACTTTTGAAGACTTGATGTTGCGAATGATCACGTTTGATTGGCGGCGAATATGTAGACCAATACCTTCAAAACCTATTTAGTCTTGTGAGTCAAGATACAAATATTAAATCATTGGGACACACCGCTTACCCCCTCCAGCAAGTCCGATCACAGACTTGTTGCTTCCAACACGAACATTGGCAGTTCCCTTGATAATTTCCTGAACGACCACGATTCTGGCCGCAGTTTCCTTCTCGTTGACAGCGGCAGTGAACTGAGCAAGGGTTGAGACAGTGGTGACGGTTCCGCCTGACCCTCCGGAGGTTCTACAACTCTATCAGCTTATCGTTCTGAGAAGCGGCTGGCCAGGAGACTACCCTCCGTTCAAGGTAGCATATCCCAGCGTCGCTTTGTCCGAGATAGATGCACGCTTGACAAGGTGATGCTTCTCAACTACATTGTCGACAGTGGGGGTCGGGGTCGCAGCGGCAAGGGCGAAGAGTGTCGCCAAGGCTTTGGGGATCCTCATGTCTGGAGAATCAGGTCGTGGGTAAGACAACAGAAAGGAGTTCAAATCTGCCGAGAGTGCTTAATGTTGGAGTTCTGAGTGTGCTGAGCGGTTGAAACCCCAGAAACATGGTTCTTGAGCCAGGTCTTTATACACATCTCTCTCAAGTGTTTTACTACGTACAATCATCTGACTCGCAAGAGTCTTTCCATGAAGAGATCAACCTCTAATCAAGAGAAATTGCGGAATGCCTGACGACATAGTGGCTTTGATTATGCAAGTCCAAGTATTTTGAGACGCAACGAACTATGGGGCGCCATTGGAGACCGAGCTTCATATTCTGGATGATTCCGCGAATCAAAGTCTGTTGTTGTATTGTAACTGATAAAATCCCCGTCAGATGTGCCCCCCCCCCCCCCCCCCCCCCCAGCATATATCCAGTCCGCCTTCAGCAAAGGAATCCTTTTGTTCAGGCATCTAACAGCTGAGAAGGAACATATTTTTCCTCGAAATAGCGTCTTGTCTAGACTTAGACATGCAGCAGCATTTCAGCTACACAATTTCTCCCCCACACCAAAAATCAGACTACTAAAACCAAGGAAAATTTCCCATTGGCCAACGGCCAAACTATTGTGTGAAAGCACGTCCATGTAAATGGATGCGTCTCGTTGGACGGGATTGTGAAGCAGTAGTTTTCCCTTTCTTGGGTGACGGAGTGAGCAATGCGGAAGAGAAAGAAAGAAATCCATCGCTCATCATCGACGAAAGATTATGTGTTTTCTCTCCCCAATGTAGATCTAGGATGTTAATTTTCTATACACATCTTAGCGAAGGCAATCCCGTTGGAAGTACATGTAAACAAGGTTTTGACACTAGATACAGAACTCTGCCATTGATATGACAGCCACTAAGGAAGTGGAAAGAATACAAGGCATCATATATATCAAAGCCGAGTCGCATCATGTAACTCAATATAAAGCGACCTAAGCAGTGTCTGGGCAGGTTTTCGGTACCATTTCTTCTTAAGGACGTTTTGGCACTCTTCACTCAGGCGGACGACACAACGCGTGCTTTCTATATGAGGATGTCACCACAGGCCAACTGCCGCTTTTGGATATATATCTGGCATAACCCCAGAAGTGAAACCACTATGCTGTAGTCGGTATCTTTCAATTCAACACCCTGGTTGTGTGTTTCGTTGCCTTCGGAATTGCAAGCAAGGTATCCAGAATCTGGTCACAGCAGCTCGCGTGCCTCGCCACCCTGACGTTCTCTACTCTTGTTTTTCAGAGACATGCTTTAGTTTCCTCGTTAAGATATCAATACGGGTCTTCAAAAACATTCTCGTGGTCATTCTGTAGTGCGTTACTATATTTATAGCTGTCAGGAAGCTTCTGTTATAATGGACACTTGATCGCAATAGAGCCAACCCAAGAACAGACGTGTGGCGAGGGGGCTGTGGTCAGGTGCTCAACGTTTCGCCTCCGCGAGGCGACTGCTTTTACGGTATATCGGTCACCACCAAGACGTTGAGAGAAGTAGGGAGGTAGTTCGATGGCCATATTTTCAAAGGTTCATTATGTCAGGTGCACGGGCACAGCTATGCCTTATCAAATGGTGAGTTGGTTCTTCGGGTACTGAAAGGTTAGGTCAGTAAGTCCATTATGGAACAAGTGATATTTCCAAGCGATCGAAAATTAAGTAAATGGTCCAGAATCTAGGACACGCCGGTCTGTCTTCATCGACTTGCCCCACCAAATTCTCTGGGTGCGGCGTTTTTGCGTTGAAAGATGCCCAGTATTAATCACTTTGGTAACAGAATGCCCGGCATCAGTCGACATTGGAAGGTTTACCCAAAGAGTTGTATACAAGCCTTGGGCGGTTGGAAGGTCCAAGTAGGTTTATAATCTCTTAACCTCTCGGTACGCAGCATTATGTTGAAAAGACATCCAGCCTACTTAAAATGTCGATATTATTCCCCAGGCAAGTGAAATATCCCGCGGTGTTAGCCAACCGGCATCTGTTCTATGTAACTCTTCTCCATGAAACTAATATTACCCCTGGTTACATACCTTACATTCATTTCCACTGACCCATAATCACATGCTCTTGAAGTAGTATCTCAAAATGACTTAGATCATACCTGTGTTTTATGACGACTCAGGCTTCAGTGGCAAGTACAAGGATATGCTGAGTTGACATGCTGTAACCGCTTAACGGAAAGGCACCCCCGAAAAACGTATCCTTGAACCGAGTGCCCTTGAAGCAAACTCACTCGATGAAAGCGCATCTTGGACATCGCTAGATGCTAATCGCGGTTGTGAGATGTTCAAGTCTTGTTTATAGCTTCTGTTTCGTTAAAGCCGAAGTATTGTGAGCACATTAGCGTGCTGTGACAACGAAAGTGGAACCGCAATTGCCAGACGGCAGTTGGACCTCATATCTCGTGTTGTGAGGGGACCCGTGTGCTGGGAGGTCACGTGACCTCCCGGGCCCCTCACCTTATTGCCAGCCTCTGCCCATAGCCTTGAGAGGAGGATTTCCTCATCACCACACACCACTACAGATCACCACAATACCATTGCTATTGTGCCTCACTTCTCGCTGTTGTGCTCCCACATCTCGTGACACGTGCAAACTTCACACCACACCTGCCGTGCTTACTGATGTCATAGAAGTGTCTATGGTGATATTGTATTTTGGGTGACTCATAATTAGACTATTCCTAAACTTCTGTAACAGGTAGCGGATATGCTACTCCTAAGGAAGACTGTTCCGCAAATCGGAGCTAGATCACGTGATTTCCGGCCGCCAATGTCTACACCAGGCAAAACCATGTAAAAGTAAGACTCATCTGCACATGTCTGTGCCAAAGCTACCAGCGCAGTGGCGCAACATGACCGAATGACAGTCGCTCAGCCTCCAGGCACTGCAGTCCGGATGTTCCTCGGCTATGCGCGTGCACATCTCTCTCACCTCGGGAGTCGAAGTCGGCGCCGACCGTGTGATCTTCGGGACGCCGGCATAACAAGATGTGGTGGGTCATATCGTGAAGCAGGGATATCCCAACGCACGCCAAATGGCCTTGACGCGTGAAGCAGTGGGCTTCCCCTAACTTGATGTAGTAATTGCCGAGGCATTCCCCACCAAAGCATCATTGCCGGGTCGCCGAGCCGGAAGACGAAACGTAAGTTTGATCTGGACGCAGTTGAAGACATCAATTCTACAAAACCCCAGAAGGCCCCCAGTTCCCCAGGAAGTCTTCCCCAGTCCTAATCTACTTACCCCATTCTCGACTATCGTACGGATACTCAGCCAACATGCCGACCACTCCAGACTGGGTCAAAGCCCTCCAGCCATCGGGACCTCAAGGGACCGAGCTTCTCGCTCAGGAGAGAGCAAAGTCCAACCTCAATGTCGACCAACTTGCGACGTTCATGTTCACAGACGAGGCTCTCCGACGCAACGAGAGGATATTAAACATCCTCAAGAACGATCCCGTCTTCGACAAAACCCAAAACTACTTCCGTGGCCGCGAAGCCCGAATCGAGACGGCGCTGGCGAGGGGCAAAAGGCTCTTCCAGCTGAACAAGGAGCACCAATGGTCGCAGGATGAATATATGGCTGCCAACGACCTGATCGCCGAGGCGACACCTTACGGGATGCACGCGAGCATGTTTCTCGTTACGTTGCGCGAGCAAGGCACTCCAGAACAACATGAGCTTTTCCTCAAGCCGGCACTGGACTACGAGATCATCGGATGCTATGCCCAGACCGAGCTTGGCCACGGCTCCAACGTGCGAGGCCTGGAGACGACGGCCACCTGGGACCCCTCCGACAAGACCTTCGTTCTGCACTCCCCGCACCTGACCGCCTCGAAGTGGTGGATCGGTTCCTTGGGCAAGGCCGCAACGCATGCTGTCGTGATGGCTCAGCTGGTCCTCAACGGCAAGAATATTGGACCCCACCCTTTCGTTGTCCCTATCCGCGACATGAAAACCCACGAGCCTCTTCCAAACGTTCACGTTGGCGATATCGGCCCCAAGTTTGGCTTCAACACCATGGATAATGGTTTCCTGCTTTTGAATAATGTCAAGGTCCCGCACAACCACATGCTTGCCCGTTTCTCGTCCGTCGACCCGAATACGAGCAAATATAGCAGGCCGGCGAACCCCTCGCTGATCTACGGCACTCTTACCTGGGTCCGATCCAACATTGTTCTCCAATCGGGCTCTGTGCTCGCCAAGGGTGTCACCATTGCCACCCGCTACTGCGCCGTCCGCCGCCAGTTCCAGGACCGCGATGCCCCGGCCAACGAGCCGGGCGAAAACCAGGTCCTCAACTACACCATGGTGCAGATCCGCCTGCTGCCATTGCTTGCCGCAACGTTTGCCCTCCACTTCACCGGCCGCGGCATGATCAGCCTTTACAACGAAAATCAGAAACGCATGAGCGCCCTGGCAGGCAAGGTTGGCGATGGGAACCGCAATCCTGGACCTGAGGAGCTGAACCCCGGCACGGACCTTCTCGCTGACCTCCATGCCACTTCGTGTGCGCTCAAGGCCTATGGCTCAACCGTTGCAGGTGAGGGTCTGGAAATTTGCCGTCGTGCTTGCGGTGGCCACGGTTACTCCTCCTTCAGCGGTATCGGGTCATGGTATGCGGACTATCTTCCTACACTTACGTGGGAGGGAGACAACTACATGCTTACCCAGCAAGTCTCCCGCTATCTTCTCAAGTCCGCCCGCTCTGTACTGAAAGGCAATTACGGCAACAACGACACCACGCGCATTCTCTCCGAGTTCCTCCGCCGGCGCGACATCGGCGCCGCCTTCGACGTTCTCGACTCGGACGAGGACCTCGTCGCTGCCTTTGCCTGGCGCGTCTCTTTTCTGACGTTCGAGGCACTCCGTCATAGGGATGAAGACAAGCAGTCCTGGAACAGTCTGCTTGTCGACTTCTGGCGTCTCAGCACGGCGCACGCGCAGTATATGGTCGTCAAGAACTTTTACGAAGCGCTCAACGACAAGGCCACGACCGAGCAGCTCGACAAGGACACAGTCGGCTTGCTGCATAAGCTCTTCAGGCTATATGCCTTGAACACGCTCGAGCAGGAGGCCAGTGAGTTTTACAGCTCGGCGGCCGTTACAGTTCGTCAGATCACGCTTGCGAGGACAAAGGCGGTCATGACTCTTCTGGAAGAGATTCGCCCCCATGCCGTGCGTCTGGTTGACGCCTGGAAGTTCGACGACTGGGTACTGGACAGCAGTCTGGGCCGCTACGATGGCAAGGTCTACGAGGATATGTTCAAGCGCGCTAGCGAGGACAACCCGCTGAACAGCGTAGTTTTTGACCCGAACCCGAACAGTAAGGTTTTGTTCAAGAAGGATGAGAGAAAGAACTTGAGGAGCAAGCTCTAGACGATCATTACACTCTAGACTAAAGATCATCTGTGGTTCAGAGTACGTGTTATCTTTATAGATTTACTAGCGCAATGTCTATAGAATGAGTGAGGGCATTTGTATATCATCATCCATCACCCTCAATCGTACCATCTGAGCCTCCTATTCTACCTGCATGTCGAAGAGCGGATGACGTAGCCATCAAAATCGGGTAGCATCCCTTTTGATGAGGTCCAATGAGCTGAGCCGTCCGCCCTTCCCACAGCTAGCTCAAACTCCTCCAACATTGCTCACGCGCCGTCTTATCCTCGTGGCGTGCCCCGCGAAAACTTGAACCGTCCCTCCGCCCCGCCAGCAGGATCGACAAGCTTACCCTGCGACGAACCGTCATAAAGCGGGATCTGGCCGTCGTACTCTCGAATAGGACTCAGCCTGGCCAGAGAACGCGAACCGAGGTTCTCAAACAGCTGACCAAGAACGCGCGCGTACGATCGCGTGAAGCCCATGTAGGGCCCGCCCCCATGGTAAGGCACACCCGCCGGGTCCTTGCCGTCGATGACGACAACCCACGGCTCCAGGTCGAGATCCGGAATCTTGCCGGGGACAAAGTCTGGTGCTCTGACAAGGGAAGCCAGCGCAGGCTCTTCAACGACGATGCAGGCGTCGCGGCGCACGTCGGACGGCCACTCTTCGTCGTCGTCGTCGTCGTCGTCGTCGTCGTCCGAGGGCCTCTCACGGCGTATGAAATCAACCCGGGCATGTAGTCAAAGTTGGATACAGAGGTGGTATTGTTGGGATTCAGGACTTGATGTTCACCGTTCCAGGGCCTACGGCCGGAGCTGTGCTGGTTGAACGGAACGCACGAATTGAGCCAGGGCTCGGCTGGCTTATGGGGTGCGTATCCCAAGGCTTGTTGACAGCCATAGTCTATGAGCTGACATGTCTTCCAGACTTCCATATTCGGGTTGGTGGAGCCATCGGATCGAAGCTGCAGAAGAACGACTGCCCCAAACTGCAAACTGGCCGGAAAAGTGAACAAGAACTGTATGGCGGCTTCCATGCTTGTGCACCTGACGCCTCAGAACTCGTGGATCTGGACGGCAGGCCGCGATCTTGACATTGTTTTACAGGATCAAATTGACATTTGCTTATGTCGCCCGAGGTGTCTTGATGGAGTCTCAGGGCCCGGCTTAGCTCTACGGAACAACTTCCGAGCACAACGTTTTGTATCAGTACCAATTCTCCAACGCCAAGAACGTCCTAATGGCAATGGTTCAGACGGAATATCCATACTTTCAGGAAGTCCCCAAAGCGCCGGGTCCCTTCGAAGACGGTGGCTTTGCAACGAACCTTCGTTTTACGACTGCTCCAGTGGCTCTTCCAAATGCGGTGTCTCGTGGGCAGTGCATATCATTGACGCTGAGCAAATTCATATCTCGGGCGCCCGTATGTATTTTATAATTCTCGCTAGATGGTATTCCAAGAAATAGAGCTACAGCAGGTCTTTATAGTTGGTTCTCGCGACATTCATAAGACTGTATTAAGACAGAGGACTGCCAAGACCGAGGCTTTGAGATTGACAAGAGCACTGATGTTTGAATCTATAATCCCTGCGCAGAATCTATCCGCGAGATGGCGAGTCCGGCCAAGAGCATTGCTACAATGGCCAAAGACAATCAGAACGGGTTTCTCTCTTCCATTCTTGCCTGGGTCCGCAACGGCACCATTGGAGAGCGTGATTCCCCGGTTTTGTCTTATATAACGCAACCGACGGCGTCGACATTCTTGACAGTCTTTCTGAGGGTCGCAAGACGGCATTGACAGGGGTTGTCAAGTGCGACTACGGCACCTCGCGATTCCGAGAGCTTCGATACTGAGGCGCGCTGGAAAGCAGAAATTGTACGGACTCGGTCTGTGACGCGGACTGCGGTCGCTCTATCGAGCTCTGGTTCGACACTGTGACCTCGGTTTGCACGGGGATTCGGGAAAATGATGCCATCCCTAACCAAGCGGGCGGTATTGTCTGGGCAGCATGGCACAAAACAAATCTAATGGACTCGAGTTCAGATCAATACTACGGAGTTAAAGCAGCCTTCAAATCATACCCTCCAAGAGATAGTAACCTAACTTTCGATTCTAGATATCATGAGTAATCTCAAGACCTTATTCGATATCAAAGACATGCCGCGAGACGAGCTGTGTTCATTCTGTCACGTGGAGAAGCCCCGTTTCATGCAGCAGTCGAGTGCCTATTCGACCTATGATGAAGATTGGAAAGGCGACCTGGAGTACGTCTACTCGACTTGTGGCCTCAGCGTTCCGACTGAGGTCATTCCGCCTCTGATGGAGGCCGAGCCTGAATCGCCAGGACTCTGCATCTCCGACGAGTTCTACACAACCTCATCGGGCGACACGTGCGACTCCATTGCGCTCGCACATAAGGTCGCATCCGCCGCACAATACATGGTAAATTCGGAGCTCTACGGATGTGATTCCATCACCACAGGCCAGGAACTCCGTTTGCCCCTCTCGTGCCCGAAGACGTACGCCCTCCAAGAGTCCGACTCGTGAGTGTCCACCGAGATGGCGCAGAACCTGATTATGGGCGATGTTCGCCGTTACAACCCGTGGTTAAACCTCGACTGCCCGAATCTACGCGTTGCCACTCCCGTTTTGAGAAGTGTGCTGTGTCTTGGACCGCAGGATGCCGACATCACTGTGACAGCGCCGGTTCCCGGCAGACCTACGGCGGCGCCCGGCACGGGCGATGGGTATACTGTCAACCCCATTAACCCACCCGAGGGAGGAGAGGTCGCCGAGAGAACCGCATTGCGCTGTGGATGATGGTTCTTAGTGAGCGACCCCGCGTAGACCTGTGTAGCGATGTGCGTCCAAAGCGGCATCACGCCGGCGCTGATATTGGAGGTCAACTCGTCCCTCAATTCAGCGGACTGTTCGGCCTCACTTGGAGTAGGGGAGGCATATTTTGTGGGGCGTGTTTGTCAATGGAACATGGACCCTATTACCCAGAGCTGGCTTCAACTGCCGTGCCACAGAAGATTCAGTCGGTCTGGAATTAAGTGAAAGCTGTAACTGTGAATCGAGACATGCCGAAAGAACTCGTACTCGCGGTGAGCTAGCTGTACTATGTAGAGGCCTTTGTAATATCGTTACCTACCTCTCTTGCCAGGATGTGGATGGTAGGTTTTTGATAGATTGACGGGCTCTGTGTACCCATGCTGTCGCAAAAACGACGCCATTATTCGCAAGCAGCAATTAACGCCTTATGTACGTACTACGTACAACACACCCCCCCAGATCGCAAAGATCTATCTTTATGATCTGTCTGCCTACATGATCACCGGGTTAACAGGGAAGCCATCATAGCCACCCCCCTAGGCTCACTTTCTAAGACACTTTTGTATCTACTAGAGTTAAAACGCTCCCTGTCCATGGCTTGCGTGGGATTTGATACCGCAGGGTCTATGACGCTTAGACGCTTAACTCTAGGGCTAGTGCTATTGTAGCATACTAGAGCGAACTGGGCTTATAATTGTTGCAGAAACGACGCCGTTAATTGCAAGCAGCAATTAACGCCTTATGTACGTACTACGTATAACACATGCAAAGCAACAAGACATGTAACGGATTGCTTCAGCAAACGCCTTCTGACCCTAACAGACATCAAAGTTGCTGATGATACTGATAAATCATTATATAACTCAAATACCACTGTAGATTTATAAATGATTTGTCCACACGCTAGTCTGGACCTGGAGCAATCACATAAGAATGGGCCATGGCTCTGCTTGCCCAATACACACGAACTGTGAACACTAAGAGCGATTGCGTTGATCGCTGACGGAAAGACGCATTCGGTACATGAAAAAACGGCGAAGCGGGCCTTTCCAGTTGGAGGAACTTGGAGAATCACAGCGACAGTAGTTTCACATAACTTGTGCATGATCAGTTGCAATGTATGGGTTTTCGAATTTCTCTTTCTGACATGGCCTTGCTTGGATTGATGGGCAAGGCTAACCCTAAGCTATTTTCTGTGTCTACTGGCGTACTTTGCAAAGCATTACTTGTTGCAAGTTAGCAACCCGAGGGTCCCAAAACTAGAAGCGAAAAAAAGAAATGAAGTCGGCTGTGTTCTCAGACATCCAAGGAAGTATTATACGCTCATCGCACGTCAAAAGGCTCTTGCGACGGCTTGCGTGGAAACTGCGAATACGAGGGAAATTTCATCGTAGAACAAAAGGATTAGGAAAAAAGCAAGCATCAACTTACCATAACAAAATAAACACCAAAGGGAAACATCAGACTCATGCCCGAAAATGTTCGAAGGTGTGAAATTGAAGTCAAGTGATTGTATAATAGTCGTAGAAGTTTTTGGTTCTTTAAATATCTATCAACGTCTATGAAGTGGGTCTACAGGTTGGATTCTGGGTTAATCCGGAAAAAATAGACCGGTCGGATAAGCATTGATCCGGAGCAAGGTTGGGACCTCCGAATCCCCACAGACAGTTCGTTGTCTCTTCCCTGACATTGGGAATAACTCAATCTGCAACTCCCAGATTCCCCCGGTCCCTGTCTTCATCGAAGATCCATGTTCTATAGTAAACAATGAAAACCCTCATTATCTCAACCACCGTCCTTGTGCAACATCTCCATATGCTGATGGACGCTCCTGAGTCAAAAAGATGCGACAATCTGTAAGCGCCCGGGTTAGTTACAGTGTTTTCTGCTTAAGCATCTTGGCGGCGCGGCGACACGAGGCGAAGCAGTGAAAACCTCATGATGGAGAAAGGCAACCGAGCCACGGCGGCACAACTCCCCAGGCGCGTGACATCAGTAGCGTATGAAATACGGCGATCTACAGTGAGCAAAAAAAAAATGCCCGAGATGGCACTGCTGCTTGCGCTCTAGTGTGTGTAGAGAAGACAGGGACTTTGTTTGGATGGGGTGACGTCAAGGTCAGTAGCTCCCCACCAAAGCTTTGTCCGAGCTCCCATCCATCCCATCCCTTCATCCCTTCATGTACCTACGTTAGATCAAGTAGCTAAACTAACTTTCACAAACTACCCCATCCCGTCTTCGGTCACGATCATCCAATAAATACTCAACCCCTCAGGCCCGAGGCCTGCCATCAGCCAAGATGCAAATCCGCAGCAGCTCGATATCTTCCTCGATTCTCGCAGCCATATCCGCTGACTCCAGCAACCCGGACAGGCCAAGCCTCCAAAAACGCATCTTCCGCCTTCTTGCAACCTTCCTCTCCGTCTTCCACCTCCCCCTCGCCCGCTACCGCGCCTCAGACTTCCTCGAGCTCCGCCACAATGTTTGGCAGCTGGACGAGCACGAGTACGCAAACTCGTTCCATCTTTCGCAGAAGGCCGCTAAGGGCAAGGGACGCGAATCCGACCTCAAGCCTGTTGGCGACCTGGGCTACAGCGGCTCGACCTTCTTCACCACGGCCGACGGCAAGTTCCTCATCAAGTCGCTGCCCCGCCGCTTCGAGCACGAGTTCTTTACTCACGACCTGTTCGGCGCCTACGTCTCCCACATGAAGAAGAACCCACACAGCCTTCTCGTACGCATCACCGACATGGTTTACACCTCGATAGCCACCCTCGGCGGCATCTTGGGAACGGCACCTACCCACCACATCATTATGGAGAACCTCCTGTATGGCAAGGCGGAGGAGGAGACGGACCATAGGAAGAAGCAATGGGAGACGTACGACCTCAAGCCGAACGACTACTTCTTCCCCGAGCGGGACATCGCCAACGGCCGCCTGGCCCCGGAGAGCGTCAAGGAGAGGCTGATTGACGAGTTTGACGACAAGATCCGGGTGACGGCGGCCCAGAAAGAGGAGCTGCTTGGCCTCCTCGGAGCTGACACTCAGCTCCTCGCCGATAACAACGCCGTCGACTACTCTCTCTTCCTGGTCCGCTACCCGGGTCCAAACGTCCTGGACGAGCCGCGCGATATCCCGACCATCAAGTCCAACGCGAACGAGTGGCGCACCGGCCTGACGGATGTAGACGGCAATTGGACCTATCGCATGATTGTGCTTGACTTCTTCTGGGCCAAGCACAAGTTCCGCGCCAAGGCCATGACGGGGCTCGTCAAGTCATATAACGTCATTGCCGGCCACGGGCCCATGAGCATCACCGCCAACCCCATTGAGTACCGGGAGCGGTTCCTCAACATGGTTCGGGACCTCATCATTGAGGCGTGAGATGCCTGAGCGATGGATTTTGGCTGCAAGGACTTTTGTTTACTGGTCACCATATCAGAGCGCGGCGTCAAGATGGGAAGCTCATATACCCACTTTTTGTTTTCTCACATTCCTTTTCCCCCCAAATCAGCAGTTTTCCATCGGATACCAGAACAAAAGTTTTCCGCTATCGTCTTGCCATCGGCACCTCAATACTTAAGTTAGATACCGAAGCAGCCCAGAAGGGCACGGCCGGTTGCTTCCTCAATTGGAACGTCATTGGAAGTGATGCTGTGCATGAGCAACAAGAGCGGGCGCAAAACTGCATTGTAAGTGATTGACGGACCACTTGCAGCTTTAACCACTCCCTGTGTGCTCGTCGGCGCATTCAAAATGGGGAACAGAGCTGCAAATTATCCATGTCATTCATTTACCACACCTTCATATTGTGGGTCGGGCACTGTATTTTTGTCCAGGAAATCAGGTCCGCCTCCCATCGTCCACCATGGCTTGCTGTCCCGTTGTCGTCGCTCAGTGTACACAGACTCCAATCACGCATCGAGGCGCAAAGATTGCAAACGAGTACTTCATTAAGACAGCAACATGCTTGCAAAAAGTGCAACATTAATGCTTATGATCAAGCTCAAGTGCCCAGAGGCGGATTCGAACCGCCGTCAACACGGATCGCTGTATAGAAGAACCACAACGTATCATCCTAACCAACTAGACGATCTGGGCGACCGACTTTCGACTTGCTCGTTTGCGGGATTCGCGATACACATCATCCGCACGAACGAGGAGCTCCAATCTGCGAAGCACGTATCTTATCCAGTCGGTTGTGTAGCGCTTTTTGCCCCTGCAAAAGTCAAGATGGTTCATTTTAGTTTTGCTGTTTCTGGAAGTCCTCGTTTGCTTCTCAGATGTTATCTAACCGACTCGAACGCTTCAACGTTTATATCGCCCACCACCTCCCCCCTTCCACGGAACTCACCATCTAATTTGCAACTGCTTGCTTCTTGAAATGCATTCGTCTCTCGTTCTCAAGGGTCGTATCCTGCGCTATCACAAGGTCTGATCTGTGTCAAGGTTGTCATCGCTCTACATTATGTGCACAAAACTGATAACTTCATGTTACATTCACTTTCTTACACCCACCCTCCCAAGATGAGACCCCAACCTTGCAGGTGGGCTGTTCCCTTTGACAGCATATGTCAATGAAGTTGCTCAATGGCATAGGTTCTTTCTCTTCTATATCTCTTTTCTCTCTCATTCCTCACTTTCCATACCATTGTCTCAATTCTCTACCACCCTCAACTTCAACCTCTTTCCCTCCATTCTCATCTTTCACCACTGGGTATTGGAGCACCTCAACCGCCACACAATCAGGTGCGGAAGTGTCTCCTACGTCTACCTTCAATTTCTTTTGCTTCATTCTCTCCACATAATCCAGATTCCTAGGCGGCGCTTAGCATGACATAATCCCAATTACATTCATCTCCCGTGTCTCTTCGATGCCAAGGTGAGTGGGCATGGAACGCCAAGGGGCGTCTGAACCTCTTCACCTCTGTTGCTGACAGCGGCTTACCCTCGCGTCTAGAATCAATAACCCAGCATCAACGTTTCCCACAACTTCCCACACCACACACGACCGTCAGTGATTTGAAGACTCGTATACGCCGCAAAAGAAATTCAAGAAAAGTACGAACTCCAGTCGTTGGATGGTTGCAGTGCCTGAAGTCAGCAGGAACTCCTTTGTGCCCAAAGCTGCGCATCAATCTACAGCAGTCTCGTCCATCAAGGCCTCTTGGCTTGACGCAGATATACCTCGGCAAGTGGCAATTGATTCTGCCGGTTTAAATCGAATCAATACATGGAGCAAAAATCCGCGTCTTGAGGTAGGTAAGTTTACTCCTCAACAGCCATATCAGCTTCCTTTGCCAAATATCCCAACACAGCGGCACCTTCGGTTCACAGGGCAGTTCCTTCCCCTTTCACCTTCGCTCTGTCTCTCTCTTACTCTTGCCATGAACCTGCTCTCTCCTTCCCCAGCCTTTAGCATCATTACCTAGCACCTTCTTTTGGAAGGGCCAGCCAGATCTGGGCCAAAAAGAAGATCGCGAGCGTGTCTCATTCTCTTACTCCTTCCCTCTCAAAAATACCCAGCTTTCCACTCTCACCTCTTCTCGCCCAGTTCTCGATGTCACAGTGCTCCCCAAGTTGACAGAGAAAGTCGTGACTAGAGGCCCAGATATGCACCGAGGAGGGGCCTTTGCACAATCTTCTCTCTAATATATTGTTATGCTACTACGACACTACAGCTTTCGAGTTACTAATCTCTTTCGTTGTGCAGCCCTCTTCCTTAAGATACTGAAAGCTTTTAGTCAACAACGTGGCCCACACAGCAGTCACTTCGCCAAGCAATCGACAAGGCAGCGTAGAAACAATTCACCATGGTCGATAGATTCGACTCCTACTTCCCCGGCCGCATCATGGGTCAGCCACAAGATGACGATGGATCCACGGTATACGTGTCCACCGACAACGGCTGGACCAACGACGAGAGAAGCGTCACCGGTAACCCCGGCCCGCCGACGTTCGCTGGCCCGGCCACTCATTCGAAATCCCCCAACCTCATCGACTTTGATTCGTCTGGTTACGGGGATATTCCCTCCAGCAATAACCTCACGGAGAAGACGACTATTGTCATGAATCAAAACTCTGACCAAACTGGAACCGACAATGCCGTCAAGGGGGTCCAATCACTTGGTCTTGGTTCTCATTCCCACACTCAGAGTGAAAGCAACCTGGATCCTGCATCGGCAGGCTCCATTTGCACCGGCTCGTAAGTCATGGCTCTTGGATTTACCACAGCGATCCTACGTTCATTTGAACCCAATCACTGACGTAGGCCCTAGCTTGCCCTTGACCAGAGACCAAACTTCCCCACCGAGCTCTTCCCCATCGTCTTTTGTCGAAGCTCGCCAGGGCCGCTGCCCATCAGACGATATGATAGCATCCTTTCCGGCTCGTATCACGCAGCTCGAGCACGAGCACGAAACTCTCAAACGCGAAAATGATCGTCTTGACTGCATTAACGAGGATTTGAAGCACAGAGTCGCCAAGGGCAATGCTACCATTGGGAAGTTGACGACGCAGCTGTCAGAAGCTGAACTTTTCAGATGCCGATGTCAGCAGTATGCTGCAGATATCAGCGAACGCAACAAACTGGATCAAGAGTTCTTGCAGGAGTTGCAAGAGGAGCTCGACTACAACAAGACACAACTGGAAGAGTTCAAGGCAAAGTACAACAGAGTTGTACAAAACCAAGAGCCCCTTCAGAACCGGTTGCAGGAGCTCCAGATAGGCCTCCTCAATGCTGTAGAGCGCAACAAGACGTACGAAGTATTCCTCCGCGCCTTTGTCACTGACAATCCCCAGCACATTGACACCTTTGCAAGCATCGGCATTTCCTCTGGCAGCCCACCACTGGACAACTGTGCGACAGAAGAGGTCCAAGAAGAGCTTCTAATATCCTTCGATGAGATCCCGCCGCCTTTGATGACACGGCATGCACCTTCTCATAGCAAGCTCTCGGACCATACAGGGTGTCTGCTGGATCTTCCGTCACAGATTGCCACGGAAGACTCGTTCACCAGGTCCAACAATTCCGATTGCGATAAGTTGAAGTCCCAGCAACCTTTGCAACAACTTCCGCGCCAGCTGCCGGAGCAGCCAAGACTCATCGGCTCGAGAATTTCGAAATCGCGAGATCCTTGTGACGTCAACGCTGACCGTCTCGGGTGGAAGGAGGACTGCAATGACATATGGGAGTCTCCTTTTCAGAGAGAGCGGGCGCTGCGCAATCATCAAGGGGCTCCGGGAGCCCACCAAGTCTCGCAGATCCCGGGTATGTTTCTGTACGGCATTCGCTATGTGCGAAATCAGAACGACCAACGACTAACTGACGATGCTGGCATTCCAGATATAGCCTCTCGCATTGTCATTATGACTGGCCTTCCAGACGACGTTCACATTCAGAGAGTCCTGGAACATGTCCGGGGTGGCCAAATCCTCAACGCCCACACCGTTCCAATGGGCACCGGTGACTTCAACTACAACCATGCCTACATTGAATTCACCACTGCCGAGGACGCCTTCAAGTTCTACAAATATTCCCATTCCCGTGAGTTTGGCTTCATTGCCCAAAATGGTATCTTTGCCAAGGTACGCATCAGCCTCCCAGCCACAGACTCATATCCTTTGAATGAGAGTGTGCAGGCTTTGATACACAGGGGTTCCACACGCTGCCTTGCTGTTACTGGATTTCCAGTCATACATCTCCGGTCCATCCTCAAGAGCGCAGGCCTGGCATACAATTTCACTGAACTCATCACTCACTTCGCCTATTCTGATGATGGAAGCTTCGAAATATCGTTTTCCAGTCTTAAGTCGGCCATCCACGTTCGCAAAGGCATCCTTGAGTCGGGTCTATTGACTGTGCCTGCTGATGGCCGGACTGTAATATTCAGACCAGACCCGTGCAGTGCGCCTCTGGGAGACCTCCACGAGCCGTTCCTACCTACCTACCCGACTGCTGACCTTTCCATTCTCGATCCTGAGAAGGCGCAGCTTTTCATGACCACCGAGGAGCGCGAGAATGAAGAAAAACTTCTTCAAGAGCAGATGTTGGAGGTGTGCGACCAGAACGACCCGGATACCGTCGGTCTCAAAGGGATGCTTGACCGCAAAAGCATCGTCTGGGAGAAAACAGCCGATTGGGACAACGCTATCGAGTACATGGCATACGACCCTGATCAGCGTAAGGAGGTGCTCCACCGCAGAGACCGCCAGTCGGGAGCCATTCAGGTGTGGTACCATGGAGGCTGGGTAATGGATCAGATCCAATCATGGAAGGCATGGGAGCACTATAACGTCGACAGCCCCGACCCGTACACTCAGAAGAGCGCCGATCTCTTGTATGAAGTGACCGGCTGGGTTGACCGTCGCAAGGTGAATCTTTACTTGAAAAGCAAAGCAGCGAGAGAGGAGAAAGAGAAGAACGATGCTGACCACAATGTCGACAGATCATTGTCGACGATGGCGGGCTCCAAGGAGACGCTGAACAGTCGCTGATTCTATCTTCGGACAGGGTTTCCGACAAACCAACGGCAGTCACTACTATTGCCTCAACTAGACCGCTGATACCTGATTTCGAGAAGGTTTCGGTGGCTATGAACGACCCATCAGCCCATGTACCCGCCGGCGTTCAATACAACCCAGCTGGAAGCGACCTTGGTACGGTTGTCCCTTCTTTTGTGAACAAGGATTCGAACGTGACCATCTTGGGTTTAGACACCTCCTCACGAGATATTGCATTCGGATCCCAAACGCCTACTTCGATATCTGTTTCCTCAGGTCCCCACCTCATCATGGACGACGACTTCGAGGGAGTTCACGGAATCTCGAAGCCTGTTTTCAACAGACTTACGGCCAGAATCGCCAAGGATAAGGCGAAGCCGTCGGGTAAAAAGCCTCCAGTCGGCCGGGCTCCCTTTTAGTAGAGGGATATAGGTGCATCAGCGGATGAATTCTAGGAAGTTTCGTGGATGGGACCAAATGACTACGGGGTTCTTGACTTTTGCGTCGCATAAAGGTGCCGGGGGGCCAGATGCCTCTCCATTTGGTGGATGTCCTATCTGGTTTGGATGGACTTGGACGGCACCTAAAGCGATAGATTCACAAGCGATCAAAGGGTAGCTAGCACTGGAGTCAGGCATACAGCCAGCACTATAGAATGGAGTTTTCATAACCCTAAGAACGCACCCTCATGACTTCCAAGGTGAAAACAGATGTCTGTCATCTTCTCTTCACGCTCATCCCGCCACGCATGAGTCATTTCATTGGAAATTGGGGTTTTATTTTGATTTTTACTTTTACTTCTTGATAATTGGTGGTTTAGTTAGGCCATGGCAACATTCTGCGACGTTTCAGGCACCAATGTGAGCATACGCGTAGGCCAGCGCCCTGTGGTAACGCTGACCATATCTTCATCGCCGTCGAAATAGACAGGGACACTCTCCTCCAATTCAAGACTAAATCAAGTCTAATTTGCCTCCAAAAAGAGGCTTGACGAAGACACCGATACCAACATCCCCGCTGGCCCCAGAATCCCATTACTCCTGGTCGTAAATGCCCACGACTGATTGCATTTCGTGCTCCGTCCATCAAGAAACCTCATATCACCAAGAAAGCGTGGGCTTGGCAGGCTGCGTCGGCTCGTCCGTAACAAGCAGCACCTCATTGCCAATATACTCCTCCTCAGCGCCGTCGTCCTCGACCGCCTCCTCACTGCCATCGGCGTAGCCCTCACCACCAGCTTCGCCGTCCGCGTCACCCCCCTCAAAGGCCTCCGAGACGGACGAGTACTTGCGGTGCGACAAGGACGAGACAAGGTACTTGTCCATCGCCCCCGTCTTGCGGCCTTGCGGCTGCGACTGCGGGTGCGCCAGGAAGTACTTCTTGATGAGGGCCCGGGGGATGTTGGCCTCGGGCTCCCAGGTCGGGTTTTGGCCGGGCGGCCAGACGCCCTTCCAGCGGACGTGGAAGAAGCGAACGCGTTTGCCGCGGACGATGCGCTCTTGCACGCCTTCGAGGCGGAGGACCTCGTAGATGTTGTCTTCTTCAGGGGCCTCTTGTTCTTCTTGGGCGGGCAGCGATTTCACGACGGCCTGTGTGCTGCCAGCGGTTGTGACGGGTGGTGCAGACTGGGTTGCTTTGAGGGGTGACGTGTAGTCGTGCATCGCCGGCTTGGGTAGCGTCGGTTTCGGTGTCGATGAAGATGCCTGTTCTATAGACCGAATCGGCTGTGAGGGTGTGAGGTTGGCGAAGTTCTTGGACGCCGCGAGGGAGATGGTCCATGGTGTTGTGTTCTGAATCAGAGGGGTGAAGCCTGTCCCAGGGGTTGTAGCATGGAATGTTGTAGAGTCCTCTAATGGCTGTTTGATGGCTGGTGGTGCGGTTGCCGGTGCTCGTGGCGGGATGGTTTGAGCTTTGGGGGTCGGAGTCTGGGCCATGGATGGCTGCTTTGAGGATGTGGAGGGAGGATCCCGTGTCGAGAGGAGAGACCGCTTTTGTGGTTGTGTCTTGGTTTTGGTCCGCGGGGCGGTGGGTGTGAACGTCTGGAGGATGGAGGCCGGCGGTACGGGAGGCAAGATAGGGGTCACCCGTGGCCGAGCCGCTTGTGAAGCACCATAGGGTTTAGGTAATGGCGGCAATGCTGGCGAGCTGGTGCCTCCCCTAGACGATTCAAAGTGCGTACTCCTGCTGCTGTCCGTCTCGATGTCCGATGGCAAACTTGATAGTGTCGGTCTTGGCGATTTGGTTCTTCGCTTCTTCGCCGACGGCTCCAATATGCTCGGGACACTGCTCCGTTCGCCAGAGTCGTAGGATCCTTCAGTGGATATCGGTTCCTCCCCATTCAGCTGCCGGAATATCGCCTCTTCCATATCAACGTCAGTGTCGTCATTCGAAGCCTCCACTTCCTGTAGACCTATGCTCCTTGAGGGCGTAGACAGTGACGGCGCTTTCTTCCTCGGCCGACCTGGCTTCTTCTTCTCCCCATTCGTTTTCGGTGGCGGCGTTCTTGACCGGTCTGCAACTGGTCGGTTCCTTTTCTTCCCCCTGGGGAGGGAGTCCTTGACCGCACTCCTTTGAAATATCCTCTTCTCTCTTGCCTCGGCCTCCTCTACGGCGCGCACGTTCTCCTCCTCCTCGGTCCTGCGCTCCTCCTCGTCCCGCTCGGCAGCTCGAGCGGCGCACCACTCCTCGTACGCCCTCGGCGAGACGTAGTCACATATTCTTTCGGCGTCGACCTGTAGCCGCGCGGCGGGGATGTCGGTCCAGCCCACGACGTACAGCAGATGCTTCTTGCGGTCAACGGAGAGCGCGGGTGGAATGAAGAACTCTTCGCGGATGTAGGCGGTAGTGTCGTGTACAGGAAGTAGGGTTATCGGGGCCAGGCGCGGGCCAGTACCAGGCTTGTAGCGGCGGTAGGTCGGTAAGTTCTCGAAGACCACGGCAAGCTCACGCATGCCCGCGGTTTTGGACCGACAATTGGAGGGGGTGTTGCTGGTGCTGGTGCTGGTGCTACCACCTGGGCTAGGTCTACCGAACCAGACATACCTCGAAGGGCGCGACATGGTTACCCACTCGCCGTGAAAACACCACCATGCCACGGCCAGCAGGCGCCGGTGGATTTGGGCGGAGGGCTCCACGAAAAAGTTGTGGTGGGATGAGTCCGTAACCGTTGGTCACTCGAAGTTTAAGGAGGGGGTCTCGCGCTTGGGGACTGTTGGCTCGCGCGACGCGACCTGTTCACCACTGCGGGTAAGCAGAACCCATCGAAGAACGGCAACGCTATGCTCTGCAAGTGTCAGAAAAAAAATAGTGACAATGGAAGACATATTCGAGAGGCTGGCAGACTCTTACTTATTTTTGGGAGCAGTCAAGCCATAGAAAGACGGCGTTTGTTTGATCGGTCTGCGGCTTTGCAAGGTGAAGGAGGGAGGAAACCTAACATTAAGTGTCTTAATTAGCGTTTCTTAACAGTTAGGCAAACACTAAAAAAGCATAAAACCCTACTTATTAATACAAAAAATAAAAAATAAAAGAACACTTTATAAGCCCCTTTATATAGGGTTTAATATAGAGTTTAAATAAGAATTAAATAAATATTTTAACTCTTTTTATATTTTCCTATTAATAAATTTTATTTTATTCTAGTAATTCTTATATCTTATTATATAATTAAATACTTAAATAGTATATTTATATATTTATTTAGTAAATTTATAGATATATAGTATACTTATAGATTTAAATAGTATATTTATATACTTATGTATTATACTACGTCTATATAAGGGCTAGATTTCTTCTGTCTGTAGCTTTTATCTTTTTTTCTCTAAGTAAGTAAAGTTAAATTAAATAAACTAACTATTATACTCTCTTTATATAATAGTGCCTCTTATATTCTAATACTCTTATATTCTCTACCCCTTTTATCTTATATTCTTGCTTCTATAGGATATATTACTATATACAAGACATACTTTCTTATATTTTATTAGGCTATAATTCTCTCTAAGAGAGCTAAGCCTTCCTGTTATACTTATATATACCTATAGATTTATATAATATACTTATATACTTATATAGTATATATATACTTTTATATAGTGCTTTTATACTTTTATATAGAATACTTATCTTTAAGCTAGTAGTAAGATAAGACAAGTTTCCTTATCTTGATTATGCGGTCTTGTAGTGAGCTGGCTCCGAGAGGTCCGTGCGGTAGCTGACCTGAGCGAGCGCCTACGCTTGACCACATCGCGAGCTCCATCCACCCCAGCTCCGGCCCATTTTCCAATTTCTTCGATCACCAGCCATACGAAAACTCCCCACTCTACCACATACAGACTCACGAACGGCCAACACGAACGACGTCTTTCAACTAGGTCACGCAGCCATGCTGACGCCCACGAGCACGTTCGCCCTCCGCCTCGCCGGTCAGGGCGCCGCCCGCGCATCAATCGCCTCCTCCATCGTCCGCACCACCGCATGCCCGTACTCGACCGCCTCCATGAAGCAGCAGCCCTCTACCCGACTGATTGGGCTCGCTCTGGCTCGCCCTCTGGCCCGCACCAGCGCCGCCTTTGGCGCCTCTTCTCCGTCCTCGATTGTTGCCCGCGTCGTTCGTCAGCCCTGCTCGCAGCGCTGCAACGCAACGGCTTCCGCTGCGGCACAAACCAAGCCGGCCGCTGCGCCCGGGGACAAGCTAGACTGGGAGACATTCTTTCAGCTGCGCAAGTCCCGAAGGAGATGGCAGCTCGGCTTCAGTGTCATATCCGGCCTGGGCGCGTTCGTTGGCGGGGCTGCCATCCTGGCGACTGGGGTTGCGGATCCGTTGGTGACGCAGGTCCCTCTGGACCCCTTCATCACAATGGGCTTAATGACGATGGCTTTCGGTACGCTGGGATGGCTGGTCGGGCCTAGCATCGGGTCTTTTGTCTTTTACACACTGAACAAGAGGTGGAAGAACCAGATGACAATCGTAAGCCGTGATGTGTCGGCCATGGGATTTCACTAGATGCTAACTTGGTTGATATTACAGAAGGAGAAGGAGTTCTTCGCCCGCATCAAGAAGAACCGCGTCGATCCTTCCGTTTCTTCTGTTGGTAACCCAGGCATGTCAACCTCACTCGCAAGCCCAGCTGATACTGTGCTAACCACCTGGACAGTTCCCGATTTTTATGGCGAGAAGATCTCAAGCGTCAAGGGCTACCGTCAATGGCTCAAGGACCAGCGGGCCTTCAATAAGAAGCGTGTCAGCTTCGTGTAGAACACCAATCACCCGCCACGGCTCGCCAACGGACGGTTTCCTTTTTCGTACGACTAATCAGGTTCATTGGTAATGGGCGAAGGTCGCCCTCCTCTCTTTGTAGTAATAGGGGTATCGGTGGGGGTGAAAAGTATGTATCATGGCGACACAATTCCCATCGTCAGAACAAATTCAGCTTCCATACAAAAGTCTTCTGCCTCTGGTGGTTGTGACCTATATGAATGGCACTGTAGGGTCGACTTGGTCTTTCCAAGCTTTCATTCCGCCCTCGATGTCGCCAATGAACCTCCTGCCGTTGTTGTCCAGCCCCAAGTCCTTAAGGCGCTTCGTTGCAAGCTGTGAGTCGTTGCCAACTCTGCAGACGAGGTAGATGGGCGCATCGTCTGGAAAGTCAGCGGGCAGCCACTCCGGTCGGGGCTGAGTGCCGTCACTCGGTGGCTGTGTCTCCTTCATAAACTTTGCGATGGGAATATTGACGGCGCCGTCAATGCTGCAGATATCAAAGTTCTCACGTTCTCTCACGTCGAGCAGAATGTGGGATTTGCCGCTTTCTTTGGCCGTGCGCTCATACTGGGCTGCTGAAATCCGGTCTTCGGGCCTTAAAATACTCACTGGTCCGCTGATGCCGCAGAAAGAAGCGTAATCGAGTGAGCCTGATCGCAGCGTCTCTAGCGACAGCGTCGAAGCGGCAGAACATGCGAAGCAATCCTTCCTTCGACCGCGCATCCGGACGGACCTGAAGGGCCCTGACTGAACTGCTCCCGAGAAAATGAGGAGGGACGGAGCAGCAGCCTCTTTTTCCTGGACCTTGGGATCGACAGCCCCCGAAGCGACGAGCTTGATGGCCTCAAGGGCCTGTAGCACGCCCATGACGCCGACGACGGGGCCGAGGATGCCTCCTTCGCCACAGCTAACGACGCTGTCAGGCGGGGGCGGCTTGGGGAATACGCAGCGATAGCACGGCCCGCCCTCCAGGCTTCCTTGCGGCGCGGCGGGCGAGTTCAGGATGATGAGCTGGCCATCCGTTCGGAAGGCGGAAGCCGAGACGAGGGGTTTTTGCAGGAGAACACATATATCTGAGATGAGATAGCGGGACGTCGGATGGTCAGTACAGTCGAGGACGATGTCGTACTGCGAGACGATCTCCTCAGCGTTCAAAGGCGTCAGATGCTCCTTGTGCGCATGGTATGTTACGAGCGGGTTCAGACTGAGAGGGGCTGTCAGTTCCGCCCAGGGATATATGTCGCTGGGAAAATGTGTGCACATACCCCTTCAAGTATGCGATGGCGCTCTCAACCTTGGGTACGCCGACTCTGTCAGTCGAGTGTGCGACCTGGCGGTGGAGGTTGGAAATCTCGACCACGTCTCCGTCGACAAGTCCAACGGTGCCGGTCCCTGCCCCGGCGATGTAAGCGGCCGCGGGGCATCCCAGTCCCCCAGCGCCAATGATGAGGACCTTGGACTCCTTCAACCTCAGTTGACCTACTTCCATTTCAGCATGGTTCACGATGCTCAATCGAGAGGCAGGAGCTGACCTATCACTCCGACGTTGGGGATGATCAACTGCCGCCCATATCTCTCGTAGTCTGCGGGTTGCAGGGGCCACTTCCATGGTTGCGTCGGGGCATTCTGGGCTTCCTCCTGCGCTTCTCTCTCGGCTAGCTCAAGTTCCTGCTTCAGAGTCTGAAGTTCGAGGGTAGTTTCGGCAACCTTCCGCCGCAAGTCCTCAATTTTGCCCATTTTCTCATCGGGGGACCGTAACACTGGTGTAAGTGGGATGAATAAGTACCATGCGCGGGAATTTGGGGGAGCCTTTGTGCATGTCGGAGGTTCCACCACCGATCTCCGACCCCCACGATTGGAGAGACCCGCTCTCGTCCGCGCCCCACCATGGAATTTTTGAAGCTCAGGGTGTCTTCAAACTTCCACCAGCACTTCTGAATCCCAGGTCTCACCGCACAAAGAAAACCAACCCTCGATATCGCCCAACCCAGCCGCTCCACCTACAACTCCCCCGATTAAATTAAACCACATCGAGATGGTAATGCGACCGCAAACTTCCTTGTAATTGCACGATGCTGACCCTCTCCTCCCCCAGGCGCCCACCGCCCCGACAAAGACCCTCTCGGCCCGCGAGAAGCGGATGGCCCGAATCCGCGGCGACATTCACCCCCTCGCGCCGCACAAGACGCTCCGCCCCGAGGCCCAGGTCGACGACGGCTTCCTGACTAACAAGAAGGACAAGCGGACAATGAAGCACAGCGCCTTCGTCAGCAAGGTGGAAAAGGCCAACAAGAAGCCCCTCAAGCGCCGCCGCCCGAACAAGAAGCTCGTTACCACCATGGAGTCTCTCGCCAACGCCCTCCCTGAGCTCGAAGAGGGCGCGCAGACGCTGGAGCAGCTCCGCGAGGGCAAAGTGCGCCACAAGAGCTTGAAGAGCAGGCCCGGCGCGCTCAAGCGCAAGGAGAAGATAGTCAGGGCCGAGATGCAGCGCTTCGGCGCCAGCATGGCTGCGTTAGCCACTGTGCCCGCTACTTCTGCTTCTGCTACAGCTGCCGGCGCGATGTCCTTAGAGAGTCCGGCCGCGGAGGCGGGGGCTGAGAAAGCGGCGTCTGATGCGACGGCGAGCAGGTGGGCTGCGCTGAGAAAGCACATCTCGAGCACCATGGAACAGAACCCTGCTTTCAGCAAATAAGCCACTACCCAGCGCACATTCCAAGCCGAGGTTGCTGGAAGTGAGGGTTGCCGTTTCAACGTGCCATCAGAGAACACTGAATGGAGAGGGGTTTGCCGATCAGGGTCTGATCCACCCCGAGGAGTGCATTGCCTCAGCTCCCATTTCGGGTCGTTCGCCCGTATTTCACTGGAGAGTGGCTCTGCCCAATATTGATCTATTCCCAGAAGCTGTGGGAGAAAAGCCTCTTTATTGAACACTGCTCATGGCTCGTTCCATTTAGCGATCCGGGCAGCAGCCCATCAAATGTCCCGCATAGCCGACTAACAAAACCGCAAAGCCCTTGTCGGCGGACGATCAGAGGGAATCCGGCTCTGAACCGCCTAACCCTCCTAGCCCTAGAGGCCAGATTCCTGACGGCTTCTAGCTAGGACGAGGGAACAAGCAGCTGTCACCATAGCGCCCGGCGGTGAAGATACCCAAACATTATTTGAATCGGTAAAGTGGGAGGCTGGGCGACGACAGTTGTGTCTTGAAACTTATTGTTCTTTGAGGTCGCGAACAGTGAGCAGGCGGCAAACCGCCGCGCGCACGTTGAATCCTGCCAGGAGCGGTGCTCGCCATACAGATCTTGTCGATGGCACCTGCGGGCAGGACAGTCGCGAGGATCAGGGGCAGACACCGTGAAACGAGGATGGATGGTCAAGTTCATGGACGTTAAAGCCGGTTAAATGTGGAAGAGGTAGATGTCTAATCGTCAACACCGAGAGTTGACTACATTATGATACTTCTTTCACGAAACACACAGTCTTGCTAATAGACAACGATATTCACCATGAAACGTGAGATGCCCTGTTGCTGTTCTGGTGGCTCGTTATCACATACGGCCATTCCAAGTTTGCACGCCAGCTCTTATCGGTGTTTTCCTGCCTCCAACTAATATGAGGAATCACCATTTGCGCTAGTTTGATAGATTAAGAAAATCAAGCTACACAGCCCGCACGATTAGCCTCCAGACCGGGGGACAAGACACCGAACGGCAAACGGGCAGTTGACGAAGGATGTTAGCGTGTTTCCACGAAATATGATACATGAAGAGGTTGAATCTCAACCATACACTAGTCAAATTTCCCGCTTCTACCATACATCCTCGCCGTGAATTTCAGACTGTCCACCCAGGTAAGCAGTGGATGAATCCGAAATGCTTCAAAGGGCTCCAGTGTAGTCCCGGCGGAAATCGAGCACACCGATGGAATAGCGGTCAGAGCCGGAGAGTGTAGCCCAGGAATCGGGATCCCAACAGGGATGCCGGTTCGTAGGGCCGATGCCACGACGGGTAGTGGGAACCTCCCTCCCTCACTGGAGAGCTGTTGCATCCAGAGATCGGCTCCACCGGCCACTGTCGATATTGTTAGATCTGCCTCGGCAGGATCATATCTCACTCCAAATCACCGAAGGCCATCCTAGTGTTGAACACGAATGCTGGCGGCACAGATTCCTCGCATTGTTCAACAGGCGTAGCACTGGCCAAGCGATTCTGCTGGGCGGGTGATCCACGGCTCAGGAAGATGCAGGTGAGCCGACGTCATTGTACCGGTCTTCCAGGTTGTGCAAACGCATCGAGAGCGATGGCGACAGGCAGCAAGCGACCCGGGGGGGCGGGGGACGCAATGGTTGATCAACCGAGTCGCGGCCCGCTCGTTGCGTGTTCTAGCGACTTGGCCTGCTCATCGAGTCTGGAACGACGGGTGTATTTTGTGGATGTGCCTAGCAGGCTTGACGATGCTGTCATGTCAGCTTTGCCATTACGGACGTTGTTCTCAGCTATCCCAGCAGTACATTGACCGGGGTTGCTTTTTTTCTCTGCACAATGCTTGACGCGGTCTTGTAGGAAACGTGTGAAGTTATGTCATACATGGGGTAAATCGCAGAGGTACCTATGAAGTTGCCTAGTTAATCGTCATTCTCGGATCAGCAAGCGAAGATCTTCAGGGCGGCAGGGCGGGGGAGAGCCGGCGTTTGCCTAATCTCAACGTCACTGAGGGAAGGTACTGCTGTGTTTCCAAGTAACTACCTACTTACGTACCTACCAAGGTAGGTACGTAGGCGACAACAGTGTTATTTCTTGCTCTCTATATAGATCTCTTGGATGGATATAAACATCTCGATCCTCCAAATCTGAATTCATTCGACTTTCACTCTCATCAACAACCCAATCTCAGCCTCCATTCACACGCACCGCACGACTTCATCACTGCTACACCCTACATCTAACAACCGAATCCCAATCAAGACAGAAACCATAATCATGGCTGACAACAACCCCGGAAACTTTGCCAACCGGTGAGTCACTTATTTCTATATCGGTTTACTATCACGCAGCATCACGCTGACGATATGCAGCCCCACCGAGGAGGTTCGTCAGATTGCGGCCAAAGGCGGCCACGCCAGCCACGGCGGCGGCATCACTCAGAACCAGTCCTCTGGCACCGACAACACCAACCCTGGCAACTTTGCCAACCGGTGAGCTCATTCAAACCCTCACTACATGCGTTCTTGGGGCGCGATTCCAGCGCATTCGTCTCCGTCGAAATATTTGCTGACAAAGATGCGCGTTAGTCCCAAGGAAGAGGTCCGGGAAATTGCGGCCAAGGGCGGCCACGCCAGCCACGGCGGCGGCATCACTCAGAACCAGTCCTCTGGCACCGACAACACCAACCCTGGCAACTTTGCCAACCGGTGAGCTCATTCAAACCCTCACTACATGCGTTCTTGGGGCGCGACTCTAGCGCACTCGTCTCCGTCGAAATATTTGCTGACAAAGATGCGCGTTAGTCCCAAGGAAGAGGTCCAAGAAATTGCGGCCAAGGGCGGTCACGCTAGCCACAGCGGCGGCTTCGCCAGCATGGACGCGGACAAGCAGCGCCAGATTGCGTCTGAGGGTGGCAAGGCATCTTCCGGCTCATTCGAGCCCGGTTCTGAGCGGGCCCGAGAGGCGGGACGCAAGGGCGGTCTCCATAGCAGCTCCGACTGAACCGCCCCTCTTCACCCGCACCTTTCAGGGTAGTGTTCGGAACGGGCGGAACTGGTAAGGACGTACGATAAGAGACAAACGTGTATAGGTATGACATATGAGCGATGGGCAACATTGGGCCCATTCGCATAGCGGGCCCCGCCTAATGAGAATCAATCGATTTCGATCAAACAGAAACATGGTTTGCGTTTGTGCCAAGTGTGGTTTGTCCGGCTTCCAGGCTGCGAGTGGTTGGTTCCCTAGCTGAGCCGTGCATGTATGTACCGCCCCTCGGTTACCCTCAGACCCCATTTTCCAAACTACAAAGACTTACCTACTTACATAGGGAACAGGCCCCGTTGGCAAAGTCGACTGTGCACCCTCGGAAGGAACATTTCAGAGCTGGTCAAAAACAGCTTTCGTACGTTGTTAATGGGGGTTGTGGAAGGGTGCTAGATGATAGAGGACCATGCCGCCAGGCCCGTATTGCCAAGCGGCCGCCGAGGATGTCTGCGTAGCCCTCTCCCAAAGGGGGGGGGGTTCGGGCAATCCCACGGTCCACCTCGGCAGTCCCCGATGCGGCTTCCCCATGTCTCACCCTGCTGCGCCCCGTTCTTGCCTATATGGGCTCGACGTTACATGACTATTAGACTTACCCTAAGTATATGGCACCCCTCGGTCGACTGTTGCTTTCACGAGCCTCTTCTCCCCAGCTGCTAGTGGAAGTGGTGGTAAGCAGTTGCCGCTAGCTGTACGCCAAGAGTGGCATAGCTTTTTTATTTTATTTTTTTATCTTTTTCCGGGAGTGCGGCCTCAGCCTGAATCAGTCAGTCTCAAAGCGGCCTGGCGCCTCCGACGGTTGGCATCAAGCCGCAGATATCCGCCAACTGGTGGTTGCTTATATGCGGCGGCGAGGAGCCACAGGGGCAAGATAGTGCATTTTTACCTAGGATACTACTTCGTAGGGTGGTATGAATCATAAAGCGGCATTTCAATGCCGCAGGCTGGGTGACGTCAACGAGTTGTAAACGTGGTCCATATTCTTTCCATCTGTGTCTCCTTCCCTCGGCCATTATATCTCGATCTCACCGTCATCTCTGTGTGACTCCCAATGAGGGCCTGACCATGCAGTCTGCTCCAATTAAAGTACCGGTGAGGTGATGAAAGGTTAAGCAGAGGCTTAATCTTAGCAGCTACACCTGTCGTAGCCGTTTCTTCCAGGCTCGTAAGCCGGAGCTTAAAACATTCTCCCCAGTTATCCTCACCCACTCGTCAATTGCAGATGATCGTCCGCCGGGAGGAGAAGAGAACGCCAAGCCGTCGCCATTCCATGACTTCCTCCTGCTACCTAGTTGTCTTTTGTATGTAAACCCGCATGTTCCCACTCGACTGTTTCGATTGTCGATTCCAATCGTTTTCTCCTACACACCTACCATACGATAACATACCCAAACGCCCTTGCCCCCGCCATTTGTCTCCTGCACGCTCTCGCCGCGTTGGGTCTCGTATCTCGGTCCGTTTCTTACACGGTCCCGTCCCCGGGAACTCATCCCCAAATTGGAACGAACAGTGCTTTTCTTCTCATCTCGTAACCTGTACGATGGCAGCAGCAGTCGGCGTGCAACCGCCAGCCCGTCTCCCTTACGCGGGCCCAGAACGCCTGATCAACACCAGGTATGCGTCAGCTTGTCAACATGTTTTTTTTTTTTTTTTTATGGTTTTTCATTTGGGTTTGTCCTATCCATCTTTTTCTTGGCACTTATGTATCGCAATGCCGTCTGACCCTGCGGCGGCCTGCTCCCTTCCCCTCAGTGGAGAGGGGGTTCAGCAGTGCAGTAACCCCTCCACCTAGCAGCAGCAGCCCGGTGGGTAGCCGAGGCGAGGCACCGCGGGGTTAAGCAAACTGCCTGCCCCCCGCCCCACAAGTGTGGCTTGTCGAGCCTCGTCACCTCGCATTTTTCGTCCTTTTCTTCGTTCCTCTTCCGCATCTCTCGGCCATGCTGCGCCACGCCAAGCGCTGGCCACGTCTCCCCCTCATCACTTGCAGTTCAAGCCTCACGTCTCTCTGTCATCATCCGAGCTGTTGTTGCTGTTTGCTGCTGCACGCCGGCCGCTAGTGTCCCTACCTATTCCAGCCCCCGGTTCCATGCTCTCTCTGCCCTTGTCAACCAAACTCGTCCTCTGTTCCATCTCCTCTCGTCCCTCCCAATCCCCACCACAGCCATCACTCCCGCCCGCCTGTTGGTAATCTGTGTCTGGGAAGATCCCAAAGTTTTCCCTGCAGAGAAGGAAAAAAAAACTCCAGACCCTCCTCCCCGCTTTATTTATTTTTTTTCTCCTCCAAAACATCCCGAAGAGGGAAATTAGAAAGCCGGGCTTGCTTGGGAAAAAGGTCATTCGGATCACTTTTTGGCTTTGACCTCTTCATTTTCCCACCGTTCCTTTGGTGACCCTTGGGCAGTCATCCCTACCACACATCCTGATCCCTCCCTCACTTTTCCCCGACTGTTTACATTCCTGGAACTTTCTTCCCTTCTACTTCCGGTTTCCCCCCCCTACTCCCCCTCTTGTTTTCCTACCCAACATCCATTACCACTGTTGTTGCACAAACGCTCCGAAGACATTATTACCCGCTCTCGACCCAAACTTTGCGAACAACCTCTGACGTAAACCCTGCCCGATAACAGTCGCTTCCTCGCATTCCGCTCATATCGTCACCAGCACCCTCCCCGCGACACCCGCTCTCCCAGCTTCACAACGAGCTCCTCCATCTCCCACACCGCACCACCGCAGACGGCATCACCGGCAGCAGTCTCCTCCCCCTCAACCTCGCCCTCGAGTACCACCAAGTCCGGCCACTGGTCGGATTCACGGATGAGCATGCCTTTCAGGAAAATGGCGCGCCACTTTGGTGACACTGTAAGGCTCTTTACTACTTACTCCACCGCCCTCATGCCTTCCGCATCGCCTTCTTTTCGTCTTCGCGCGGGAAGGAGACAAGGCCGATGGCCTCTCGGACTTTCTCTCCTTCCACGACCAACAATGGCCGGGCGTGCAGACAGACACATGCCTCTCTCTTTGTTTTATCCATCCTGCCCGAGACCTGCGGCGGGGTATCAAGTTTGGGAGGTAGTCCCGTTTCAGCGCCGTGCCAGTTAACTGATCCGGATTATGTCCTAGCTCTCCCCGCAGCAACCCTACCTGTCGTGTAAGTCGCATCCCTCCCCTTGTCCCAATCCGACACCGCTCGTGCGGTATGGTCCCAGTCCCACGTTGCGATGATCTCCGACTGACAGGATGTACAAATTGTAGATCACGATATCCTCCGTACGTACCCTACGATGATGCACTGATCCGCCTCGCCCTTTCTTGTGCTCTCAATGTTGCTGTCGCGTAGCACTTTGCTTACTCATGCCACCACAGTTACCTACGAAGACATCAAGGCGCTCAAGAACGACTGGCTAACAGACAATGTGCGACCATAACCCCTCCTTTGCACCTGTCCTTCTAGCTAACGCCTCCCCAGAACATTGCTTTTTGGGAAGAGTTGGTTCGCCCACGGCCCCCATTTCCCCATTCTGTTGTTTAACAAGATCACCACAGATGGCTGGAGCGCGAAATCCTTCCCAAGTACCCGCAAGCCCGCATCTGCCTCCTGCGGCCGTCGATGACATTCCTCCTCATGAAAGAGCCCGACATGCGCCAGATCCGCTCCGCCCTTCCCGACTTTTCTAAGACGACACACATCTTCCTCCCCATCAACGACGCCCGAAACGTCGCCCAAGCCGAGGGCGGCTCACACTGGTCCCTGCTGCTTGTCAGCGCTATCGACGGCGTTGCATTCCACTACGACTCTCTCGGCGGCGCAAACTACGCAGAGGGCCGCCTGGCTACGCATAAGATGTCCGAGGTCCTAGGCCGGCCGCTCCGGTACCTCAACCTGGAGGACGCACCTCAGCAAGAAAACGGCAGCGACTGCGGCGTCTTCGTCTGTATCCTCATGCGACACCTCCTAGTTAAGCGCCTGCTTAGCGCAAACGCTCGCGAAAAGGTCAGCATGAGCATGGCCAACAAGCTCATCGACAGCCACGGCGGCCGCAAAGAGATGCTCAAGATCATTGAAAGCCTACGTAAGGAAGGCGAGAGGAGGAGATCGTAAGCGCATTCCATCATCCGTCCCTGACCAAAGAACCCTCCATGCTTGTGGACGATGTCATGTCGTCCTGATTTTGTATCATGGGTTTTTTTGGAACGGTATTTGTTTTTGTCTTGAGGGTTCCCTGACACACCTTTTAAAAAGGAGAAGCGCATCACCATACTCGTCGAAGACGCCCCCGCGAATCGAATAGTCAGCATTAGGTCCCCCCTCCACGCCCACGGTGTTTGGCTCGAAATGACTCAGCGTACTGCCGGTACCAAGTTCTGACGACGACGACGACTTCGACTCTACCGTACGCACCGGCGGCTCGTATACTTTTTTTTTCTCTTTCTAAATTTCCGAGATACGATATCCACGAAGACATGCAGTTTATTTATTATGGGATTCGAGAGGGGCATTTTCATGACGTCTGAGAGGTTTCGTGGTGAGAGAAGGAGGCGATAGATGATGCATCCGCCGATTCGAACTTAATCACCTGCGAGCTACAATGTCTGAGCGCTGATTCCAGTCACTGCTATGTTGGTGGTAAAGTTCAATTCGATGAGACGACAGAGCAAATTGGCCATCTCGAGTAGAGGCGTTTATTCATGAAGCAACAGACGATGTGCCTGGGGAAATATGAGTGAGAGCAGGTAAGGGTTGGCGAGGCGTTTGGCGTGCCCAATGGCGGTTGTTAGTCCTGCAATCGAAGAAGAAAAAAAATTGATGAACTTTTATTCTCACTACTCAGCCCCGCAAGTTTCCGAGTGTTCTGCTCCCATTCATTTGTGACTTTTATAGCCTTCATAGCTTCTATCAAAATCATATGGCAGAAAGAAGTTTGCTGCCTCAACGTAAGGCTCAGTCTCAGCAACTGTTCAGGGAGAAACATAACTTCACGAAAGTACATAGGAGCTTGCAAGACAAGAATGCACCATAGGCGTATCATCGTTGAGGCTAGTAACACCGAATCCCGGTCCCGATCTTGTCCACGGTCCTCCGCCAACCTCCGCTATGTATTCCACACATCGTCCGTTATGTAAGCCAATTCCGCCAGTCCGCCGACCGGGCGTCCCGCAAGTCTGCGTCGTCATCATCTGAGCTCTCCTGGGCCACCCCCCCAAAAGCACAGCGACACACAAAACAACCCCGACCCCGGATTCACCAGTTTCGCATTGTTCACCTCACCTCAACAAGGACAACCCACCAGCTTCATCTCGGTTCGCCCCGCGCATCACGCGCCCCTCTGCGAGCCGCTCGCCGACCCAGAATCAGCTCTCGACCCGGAGAGCTTCAACCAAACGGCCGAGCTTGTCCCTTACCAACCCCGGGACAAACAGACGCATCTTTACGTCGTCCGATAAGCCCAAAAAAAGGATGACGACCCCTCTTCCGCAGGAGCCGGTCTGCCTGGTCCAGCGCATCAGGGAGCTTGCAACGGCGACGCCGCCCCCGGCCTATCCGCCCATCTCCAGCATCCCGCGGACCCCCCCCACGCGGCTGGCCGCGGCATCATCAATCGACGACGCCGCCCAGGGCACGGTTCTCTATCTCGCTTACGGCTCCAACCTCAGCGCCGAGACCTTCCTTGGCGCGCGGGGCATCCGCCCCGTCTCCCAGGTCAACGTCTCGGCCCCGGCCCTCACCCTCGTCTTCGACCTCCCCGGCCTGCCGTACCGCGAGCCGTGCTTCGCCAACACGGCGCCGCGCAAGGTGCCTAATCTCCCAGACCCGTCCGACCCGCCAAAGTTCCCGCCCATTCCCCCGCCGCCGCCCCAACCTCTGGCGTTCCCCATCGCCCCCGGCAGCAGCGGCCGCAGTGGCGGCGGCGGCGACAAGACCCGGACCCCGGACCTGGGCTGGGACAAGGGCCTCTTCGGCGTCGTCTACGAGGTCACCCGCGAGGACTACGCCACTATCGTCGCGACCGAGGGCGGCGGCTCCTCGTACGCCGACATCATGACCCCCTGCATCCCCCTCCCGCCCCGCGTCTCCGTCCCCGAGAAGCCGCCCATCGACATCCCGCGCCCCTTTTTCGCGCACACGCTCTACTCCCCCGCCATCCCGGGCCCTGGCGACGAAGACGACGACGACAAGAGCGGAGAAAAGAACGGAGACCCCGGCAGGGAGAAGCCCGACGACCCCCGCAAGAAGTGGTACTGGCGCTTCATCCGCCCCGTCCGCCGCCCGGACCCGACCTACGCCCAGCCCTCGGCGCGCTACCTCAAGCTCATCACCGACGGCGCCGCCGAGCACAAGCTGCCCGACGACTACCAGCGCTGGCTCCGCTCCCTCCGCCCGTACGTCGCCACCACGCTCCGCCAGCGCCTCGCCCGCTGGCTCCTCACCGCCGTATTCTGGGTCCCCGTGCTGCTGCTCTTCGTGCTGAGCAAGGCGCTCGCCAACAAGGAGGGCAGGGCGCCGCTGTGGATCGGCGTCGCGCTCGGCGTCGTCTTCAACCTGCTCTGGATGGCGTACGACGGCGTGCTCAAGCCCGTGTTCGGGGACGGGGAGAGGACCCAGGACGAGGACGAGGACGAATTGAGGGGTGCGGCGTCGTGGAGGGCGTCGTGCACCCACTGCGCGCGATTCCTGACGAGGAGAAGATGGGGCTACTGGACAACATGGATTGATTCAAGTCGAAACGGTGTCGCACACGGAATATACAACACACACTTTTCTTTTTCCTTGGTACAATAGCTTGTATGATACCACCGGATCACTTAAATTGAATATGACACAACCTCGACATTGCTCAACCCGTTCTAAACAAATCCTTTCCACACCAGGCCGCTTGTGATGAAGTCATCCAGGGATATCAATGTGCATTTGCAGAAACCAAATATACCCATACTCCAGTTCCCAACACACACACCCACACACCCACACCCGCAATAATGTCCTGTATTGCCTGTATGCTTTTTTCTTTGTGACGTCTCCAACACCACCTGCCCCTTGCTATCTCTCCAGCTAGTTCTCTGATGCCGACACCAAGTTCGGGATGTCGTCAACACTGTAGCGGCCCTCGAGGATACCGTGCACGGCCGTGAAGAGCGGGTAATTCTTCTCCAGGCCCCTCGCCTTGAGGAAGCTGTTCACCTCCTGTGCCGTGCTCGTGCCCTGGAGCATCTGGCCGTTCAGCTCCCGCTTCTCCACCTCCTGGACGCTCAAACCTTCCTCGACGGCCATCTTTGCGCATCTGAAGTTGCGGCCGCCGCTGCAGGACGTAATCAGGTCAGCGACACCCGCCGACTCCTCGGTGAAGGTGCCGGTGTGCACCGTCTCGCCAAAGAACTCCTTGCCAAAGTTGACCATCTCCAGCAGGCCGATGCGCATGATGGCGGCTTTTGCGTTGTCGCCCCAGCCGCGGCCGTCGACGAAGCCGGCGGCCAGCGCGACGATGTTCTTGAGTGCGCCACCGAGGGAGACGCCGGCGACGTCGGAGACCATGCGGACGTGGAAGTAGGGGCGGTGGAAAAGCTGCTTGAAGATCTGATGATCCAGTGGCGGGTACTCGGCGGGGACGGGGGTGAGCTTCGTCTTGGAGGCGCGGCCACGGGCGTCCTTGTGTTGCATGTCAACGGGGGTCAGGGGGGCGACGCTGTGACCATTGCCGTTGGTGCTCGGGGAGGTGGAGCGCGGGGTCGGGGCGCGGGAGTTGTCCATAGGGGGCGGGTCGTAAGCGACGGTGGTCTCGGACCACTTCTCGGCGGCGATCTCGGAGGCAATGTTGGCGCCGGAGAGGGCGCCGCAGTAGATGCCGAGGCCGTCACCAATCCACTCGGAGAAGAGGGAGACACCATCGTCCGAGACGTTGACACCCTTGATGCACGAGATGCCGCGGGCGAAGGGCAAGATATGGCCGCTCAGCTGCTTGCAGACGTTGGCGATGAACTGGTGGGGGAGGTTGAAGATGAGAATGGTGGAGTCCTTGACGGCGTCCTGGAGGGAGGGGTTCGCGATGATGTTGTGGGGAAGCTTGATGCCGGGCAGGTACTTTGTGTTCTCGTGATGCTTGTTGATGATGGCGGTGAGCTTCTGGGGCTGGTCGCCGACGGCGGCGTCGTAGTAGGGGGACGTCTTGTCGAGGACAACCTCTTCCTCGTACACCCACATGTGCACATCTTGTTCGAAGAGGTCGGGGAAGGCCGCCGTGTTTTCGGCGACGATCTTGGAGATGGTCGAGCCCCTAGGTTGGAGTAGTCAGTAGGCAATCACTCGCGCGGTAGAGCAAGGGAGCTCACCAATTACCGGAGCCGACTACCGTCACTTTGTGTTTCTTCTCGGCGCCGAGGGAAGCCATTGTCGTTGTAGAGTTGAATCGTCGTAGGGGAAAGGTGCTTCTGGCGACAGAGACGATAGGACGTAGTCTGAAGAGCATGAGGCACAGTAGAAGAAAGGACAAAAAAGGTCGTCGGAGGGAGGGGAGGGGTGAAGTTTATCTACCTCTTAGGTAGCATGTAGGAGCTACGGAAAGGTACGGGATAGGTTACGGGGGAAAGGGAGGGTCCAGACAGGTGCTATCGGCATCGGCTCATCTCTCGGTGATTATATGGATGAGTGAGAGGGAGAGGGAGTGTGTGCAGTGCGTGCCTAGGTATTAAGCGTATATACTATGCTTGCTGTATTACCAGCTGATGGATGGCAGAAAAAAGAAGAAAAAAATTGGAGAGACAGAGACAGATAGACTGTGCAACGGTGTGCGTTGTTTGCCCCTCCATCCGTCCCAGTCTGTCCTTGTCGATCTGTCTACCTAGCCAGCCTCCTTCTCTCCTCGGTTTCTTCCGGCTGCCCACCAACAGTCTCTTTCTCTCTATTTTATTTCTCCCTCTCCCCCAGCTCCGTGCCTATCTGAGGAAGGAAGTTTCTGCCAAATGCTGCCAAAGTTAACAATCAGCTCGACCAGATTACCGGGGTGTTCCTGCCCGACGGCAGTGTTGAGAGCAGCATGACGCACGCCCCAAGCCGACAGGGTCATCGCAGCCCGCGTCACCGCTTCCCTAAAGGGGAATAGTCGCTCAACGAAAACGCCCGGGGGTTGAGACCGAGGCCGGGTTTTTTCCTCTGATCTTGGGACCGGGGGCAGGAAGGGAGGGGCTTGCTGAGGGCAAGGACACACCGAAAGGGAAGTGAGGATGGACCGGACCAAGGTTCTGAGGCCTGAGCCACCCGGGATGCCTCGGTCGGCCTCTCCTCCTCGCCCTCCCGGCTGCTGGCCGAGGGAAAATCGGACTTCTCATTGTTTCCTTCGGCTGCTCGTGTTCACTTCTCTTTTCTCTCCCCACGTCTCAAGCCCATTTCTCCAACATACTTCATTCCCCCACACCTTGTTCGGTCCTACCTATGTACGGGGCGTGGGAGCTCGGCTCGTCGAGACAAAAGAGCAAACCACAGAAAAGTCAACAAACTGCGGCTGTACATAATCTGTGACAATAATAGTGCAGTACCCACTGTCAACGCCCCCCACCTGGTGTGTCCAATGCTCGTGTCCAAAAGTCGCCCCTCAGTGGGAAGACGATTAGGTGCAATAGAATGACAGTGTGAATGGGAGCTGATTGAAAAGGACCAAAACAAAGGTCAATTTGAAGGTGGCTAATGATGATCCAGAAGGGAAAACACCCCCCTCAGTGCTGACTATCAGGTCCTGATTTTATGACCCATTGGTACGTACCCGTACCTCCCAGCAATGTACTCCGTAATGCTGCCATGCCTATCCATCCTTCCGCCCAATCCCCTGGTGGCCGATGGGGAATCACATGCCAAATAGACTTCCATTAGTTTCTCTTCCCCTCGTGCCTGTTTCTCTGGGGTCCCACGACGCTGATCGTCGCATGTGGGGTCGTTTCCCCCCCTCATTGGCAACGACACGAGATATCGCGGCAACGCGGGCACGACGGGGGCCTGCTGATTGCGACCGTAACCGCGGCACAAAGATATCCGCCCGTGATTCCTGTTTACCGACGGATTTCAGCGCCATCGCCACTGCGGCTGCCGCGACATCGAAGGCAAGCGTTCGGTCTGCCGAGGAACGTCTGACAAGAACCTTGTGCCACCGGATGGCGTGATCTGGCCGCCGCAATGTACGATGAAACGAACAGCTTCTGAGCGACCCCCGCGCAACTTTCTCTATCAATCTTGCTATTCGTATTGATAACTATTCGCTTCTGCCATGATGTCACGCATAGCCAAAGACTGTCTTCCCAAGTTCTAAGCACTACCCGCGAAACCAAATGGGAATCTCTTCCCTTCACGCGAGCATGCTAACGGAGAATCGCAGCCTATGGCATGCACGATGGGTCATGGGCTCATTCGCTCAAGTCTCGCAGCTACAGATGGCATGCACTAACGATCCGAGACTGCGGTCAACCACGCCGGCTGCTGCCGATGCAAGGTACATACGTTGGATCAAGATATAGCTAGACGCAGGGCCGTGACTGTTCATCCACGCCACATCCCCTCCGGCCATTACCTACGGCGTGGGGGGCACAGTATGTAATGGACTACGTGAAATACGCTCGACCTGGAGGTCAACCTTCCACACTTGCCGAGCTACGACTTGTTCATATCATTTTTCCGATGTACGATGTGGCGCTATTGTGTCCTTCGTCCTATGGCAGGCTGTATTCAAACTCGCAGCGCAACCGATGTCCAACTAAGCAGCATTTTCTGAGTTGCGAGATCCCAACGGCCATCACCGTCGTTTAGCCCAATACCGGCTCTTTCGCAAAGGTTCTGCGCCTGAAACGTTCGACTGAAGTACTCGGTCATTGGGCTCTCTCAAGCCTTGGTGAACAGAACTAGATAGGTAATACGTTTTGCCGGAGAAAGCACGCGCTATCAGGACAGCGCGGGACGGGCCGTCCACGGAGTGCAGAATGTTCGGGATGTGCTGCGCCGAAACCAAGGCGTCCGAACCGGCATTGCGCTCCTAGTGCCGCGTCAGAGGTGTAGGCGAGACGAGGGGGGGTGGGGAGGGTAATAGAGGATGCTATGTACATCCTGACTGCCCATACCTTCGTTGGGTCAGCGGAGTTCTTCTCTGACTTGCTTGTCACCTGTTTCCCGAGCTCATAAGTGAGAAGTACAGTAGATGATGCGATGTCTCCCCGCCAGTTCTTTGTGGAGAGGAGCAACAGAGACCTTACTGAGCCGAAGGCATATGCTCGGGGTCTACTTCCGTTGTAGGCGATTCGTCGCCATGCTTGTTATCCTTCAGTATATGGCATATATAGAGGGTTATGAATCTACCCCCTGCACACTTGTATGTCCTGGAGATTGAGGGGGATTCTTATATGGCCCGTCCTCAAGAACGTCGAGCTGATATTACGCATCTTAAGTGCTGTGTAATACGAGGGAAATGCTACAGAGCCCCAGCAGCGGATACTCAGATATCGAAGGGCAAGTAGACTACACCTGTTATTTGCGTTCACCTATCTCGCCATAACATTTATGGCCTAGACTTTGTCCAATTATGAGAAGTATGGGAGCCTATATTTAGTGGGTTTGGTAGACAACACTTTAATGGATGTGCTAGTTCAATATTCGCAGAAGTTACCATTGGAATAGCACGACTCCGTACGAATCAGTTAACTGGGCGATAGTCCAGATCATCAATGAAATTGCCCAGCGAGGAACTTGGTTCGCTGCGGTGACCAGACGACGATGTGATGCGTGCTGAGGGAGATTGGCGAGAGCTTCGCTTGCTCCAGCGAGGCAGGGAGCAGTGCGTATGAGCAGTAACTGGCGGCATCTCGACGAGTGGAAACCCGTCCCATATCACACGAGCAGCTCGCCCTCATTTTGATTTAACGGTTTTGTATCAGCTCCGCCTAACGCGGAGAACGTATGCAACCACTAAATTTCAATGTGCATGGGACGATGGTCCTAGATCTGCAAAGGCAATTTGAGCTTGGGAATGGTTGGTCCACCTCAGAAAGAACACCGTCGTCACGAGCATAACTACAACTCCGAGCAATGACAGGCCTGCCGTTTCAAATTATCTTGTTATCAAACAGTAGCATCGCTTAATAAGGTTTCTGAGATAGTCTCCTCTTAGATTCATCAAGCGACAGACTAATTCATACGATTTCAAGCCCTACATGAGAGCGGTCTTGCAGATTGCAACGAAAAGAGACTAACAGAAAACTCTGGCTGACGCGACGGCCGAAAGACCGTGGAGGCCCGTCCAGTCACGCCATAATAGCCATCGCGCAAAGCGGCTCAATTCAAAGCTGGCTCGCTAGCGACCTAGCTCTCTACGAGTACAGGGGCATGGAGATGAGCACTAATAGATTCTTGCATGAGGTACGTCATGGCGGGAAGAGGTTGACATGGCAAGGGAAAAAGCGGTGTCGGTTCCGTCGTATCCATCACTGCCTGGCGAAAACGTGGCCCACTCGGATATAGAGGAGTGGGAATACGCCTCACATGTGCATGCGTGTTTTTGGCAGCACGGTCACTCTGGCGAGGGTGAGCAGGCACAGAGGGAAAGGGGGGAGAATGTGATCGCCCGTTGCGGCGGGTGATGTTCAGGCACGCAAAGCCAATTGGGGTAAGAGGTAAAGGTGCGGCTGTTCAGGAACGCGGCTGATCTTGTGCTGGGAGGGGGAAGAAAGGAACAAGCGTATGTGTGTGTGTGTGATATGATGGGTAATGAAAATCAGAGACAGCCGTGGCGGGGCAGGCGGGTGACAAAATAAGCCGCACTCACAAATTACAGAGGTCAATTTGAGTCCCCATGCGCTAAAATATAGGGTGTATAGGTATTCTTTCGTCATGTAACTCCCTAACATACTGGAGATCCCCGAGGCACAGGTCACCTTAAGTTAACTTTCCTGAGTGCGGGTTTTTTTTGGCACCCGCTTGCGGGGGTAGGAAGGGGGGGTGAGAGTGAGAGTAAGTGTACATAGCTGCCCGAGTTGGAGAGTTTAGAGAGTTGGAGGCAGGAGCTGTTGTCGTTCCGGCCAAAAAGAGACAGGTACTGCAGGGAATCAGCAGAGAAAAAGGACGGGGAAGGAGGGGAGCAAGGAAGGAGGGGCATGAAACCGCGTCCGTGTCTGCGCAGCAAGGCGATCACTAGGTAGAGCTGATAGCGGGATGGAGTTTGGTGACGTCACACGACTTGCCAGGATGGGAGCTCTTTTGGTTCTAGCCTCCCCTCCCCCACTTGCAAGCAAGCTCACTCCAACAGAATAAAAATTGAAGTCAACTGTGTTAGAGCCTCTCTTGCTTGCCACACCACACCAGACCAACCAGGCGCGGCCAACGCACTTGAACATGAGTCGGCATTTGCGCCGATCGTTGCACAGATTGCGAGTTAGGCCATGCTGCAGAATTGACTAGACCAACGTACGAGTCGTCAACACACGATGCGTCCTTTGATAAAATCTAATACGATGGTCCACAGAATCCCAGTCATGATCTTGAGAGAAGAAGAAAGAGATAAGGAAAAATGACAAGAAAAATGAAATGAAATAAAATTAAAAGGAGGGAAGATAAGAAAAAAGAAGAAGAAAAAGAGGAGACAATCTTCAAGCTCCCAAACTGTTGAGAGGTGGCCATGACGATGTGACAGCGTAGTGTAGACAGTTATCAAAAGGCCGTTACGACGGACCAGCACCGAATGTCCGTCCCCCCCCTGGCACACCCGAGTCTGGCCATGCCGGCATGCAACGTCAAACCCGGGTCACCGCTCAAAATAAGCCAAGTTACACGACACGGAACGCTACGAATAGGCGCAGGAAGGGGCAAGGGGCAAGGGGGGCCGTTGACTGGCTGGCTGCGTGCATCGCGATCGAAAAGTCGAGAGAAGTGGGCATTCCCAGTATCGGACATTGGTCTGGATCCTCGAGGATCGTGATGTGTGGCCCTCGACGGCTGGGCGCTAACTCAAACCCCCGCTAGCGCCTCGAGCTGTCCCCGCCGAAGCTATCCGGTTCGGGCGCTGCCAAACATTCCCATGTTGCTGTGGCCGCCATTTGGCAGCTCAACAACTACGTACCAAGTACATGGCATGTATCATTCTGCGAAGTCTGTTCCGTCATGTACCTTATCCGCGTGGAGCTGGTCCGGAGATACCTGCCCCGCAGCTCGTCCCGCCTTCTCGAGCTGTTCCCCAGATACCATTTTGATGTGAAGTTTTTTTTCTCTCCCCCTTGTGTATCCGTAGTACTGGAGCAATGGAGACGAGCTTCTGGGCTGCCTGAGTGACAGGATGATTCCTTATGGTGCCGTTACACCCGATGCTTTTGGCCCCCTTTTTGCAGGTGTTGTCGTTTCGTCAGTCCTGCCTGCCTCGAGCTCCTGCAGCTAAAGTCAGCAAGGTTGTTGTATCTGTAGTCGTCCAACCAAGTACCCCGAGATGGATTGATGGTTTCGTGTTTGCTGAAAGTGGCTCAGGAAGAGACCTGCTCCGAATGACGGTCCTTTAACGCAGAGTACATGCGTGCCAAGGAAACACCGTACCTTGACCGAAGGGGGAGCTTCCCTCCCGGCAGCCCTAGCGTCTTTTGCGTGACTTTGCTGAGCTCCCCCTCCTACCTTTGTCTCCAATTCCGAAGACGGACGAGCTCAGGTACATTTGCTCATTGGCTGAGAGGCATTGGCACCGAACACTGGCAAGAAGACCGCAGCTGGCCGGCGGTGATACCCCGCCATACCACACCTTCTACTTTACCTACCTAGGTAGTCGTCCGGACTGAGACTAAGAGTACCGTGGGAAGAGCTGAAAAAGGAAGAGAGACGGAGAGAACGAGAAGCACCGTGCCGCCGACTGTACCTTGTTCTGGTCATATTCGGTGCTGGGCAAATGTCTCTTTACCTAGTCTATGCGCTCGGTTAATATCGTCACCATCCTCCATCTCGTCTCTTGTTTTCTTTTCTTCCTCCTTGCACACACACACTCGCGCGCACACACATACATATCTTCTTCTCCCCCATTCTCTTACTTCCTCCTCCAGTCATTGATGCTAAAGCTCCACGGTCTCTTCAAACCTCCATTGAGTTGCTGGAATTCCGTCTTTATGGCCTCTTGATCAATTGCTCTCCGCAGCTGCTCCGCTCGCCCCCCAGTTCCCCCAGCATCGGCCCATTCTTTCGCCTGTCACGTCTCCGCATGAACCAGCAGACAGTGCACCCGCACCCGCTCCCACCACCGTAAGGTCCCACGTCTACCTTGTCCTCCCCATACCCACGTCGCCATTTTGTCCGCGGGGCACGAAAGCTGCCTCCTACAACCTTCGCAAATGATACCAAAAACCATGATATCCAACGAAGTATACCTCCTGCCCCTCAACGACGATGGCTCACCCCAGGTCGCCGGCGAATACGTCTACCTCGCCCCCAAAACGAACGATCCCGTCACCATCCGCTTCGCCATCGAGGGCACCTCGTCCATCTGTCGCCATGGCAGTCTGTGGGTCAACATTCCAGACCAGGGCGCCGAGTTCCACAGAGACCACTTCCGCGAATTCAAGTAAGCTCATGACCGCAATCGGTGCTGCTACATTGCGCCTCTCATTCAAGCTGACTCGCGGTTCAGGCTGAAGCCAGACTTCAACCGCACAATTGAAATCTCTATCCCCATCTTTCAGGCCGGCGCATATGCCTTCTACACCACATACGCAGAGCTACCAGATCTCGCCGAGGAGCTGGACTCGAGCCCGCAGACCACCGCCACCAACAAGAAGACGCCCCTCTACTACATCGATGTCGCCCCGCGCCTCAGCCTCGATGGTCGTCCTCTACCGCTGCCGGCCTTGTCAATCTTTTCCGTCATTAGCAAGTTTATGGGCAAGTACCCGGGTGACTGGGAGAAGCACCTGCGCGGCATCAGCGACCGCGGCTACAACATGATTCATTTCACCCCGTTACAGGTCCGCGGTGCTTCCAACTCACCCTATAGTTTGTACGATCAGTTGGGCTGGGATCCCGAATGCTTCCCTGCTGGTGAAAAGGATGTCCAGGGCCTCATCGAGAGCTTGGAGAAACAGTACTCCATGTTGAGCTTGACCGATATCGTCCTCAACCACACGGCACATAACAGCGCATGGTTACAGGACCACCCCGAGGCTGGATACAACCTTGTGACGGCGCCGTGGCTAGAATCTGCTTGGCTGTTGGATACGAAGCTGTTGGAGCTGAGCGACAACCTCGAGAAGCTTGGGCTTCCCATCGAGGTGAAGAGCGACGAGGACCTGATCAAGATTATGGATGCTATCAAGAAGCACGTCATCTCCGAGATCCGCCTGTGGGAATACTATGCAATTGACGTTGAGCGCGACGTTGAGACGGCCTTGGAGGCTTGGGCTGCTGGTCGTGCCACCACCCTCCAAGACGCTGCTGATGGCGCAAATGTTGCCGGCCTCAAGGACGCCTCTCTGAAAGACCAGGCCGAGTTTCTCATCAAGCACGGTCTGCAGGGCACCGACCGCATGGGCGAGCGCTTCAGGAGGAGGGTTGACCCCAAGGTTGCCTCTGGTCTTCTGTCTGCCATCTTTGGACAATACGAAGGCGAAGACGGCAGTACCACGACGAAGGCAGACGCAAAGTCCAAGCTCAAGTCCCTCCTTGACGAAATTAACCTGCCTTTCTACAAGGAGTACGATGCCGAGATCAGCGAGATTCTGCAGCAGCTTTTCAACCGCATCAAGTACTGCCGAATCGACGAGCATGGCCCGCGCATGGGCCCCATCAATAAGGAGTTCCCTCTTATCGAAACCTACTTTACCCGCTTGCCGAAAAACGACACAACAGCCAAGAACAAACCCGAAGAGAACGTTCTCGTCAACAACGGTTGGGTCTGGGGCGGCAATGCGCTGATTGACAATGCAGGCCCTAGCTCACGCGTCTATCTCAGACGCGAGGTCATTGTCTGGGGAGATTGTGTCAAGCTCCGCTACGGTACCGGGCCGTCTGACAGCCCGTTCCTGTGGGATTACATGACAAAGTATGCTCGCATGCTGGCCAAGTACTTTGCTGGTTTCCGCATCGACAATTGCCACTCCACCCCACTCCACGTTGCCGAGCACATCCTCGACGAGGCGCGGCGCGTCCGTCCCGACTTGTACGTTGTGGCTGAACTGTTCACTGGTTCCGAGGAGATGGACTACGTCTTCGTGAAGAGGCTGGGCCTAAGCGCGTTGATCCGTGAGGCCATGCAGGCGTGGAGCACCGGCGAGCTAAGCCGCTTGGTCCACAAGCATGGAGGTCGGCCGATTGGCAGCTTCGAGGTGGATGAAATTTCCAAGGCGGACTCCAAGTCTCCCATAAGCCCCATAAGTCCGTCTGTTGAGGGCACCGACATGCTTAACGGCAACAACCCGTCTTCGCGTGAGATCATCCGGAGGATCAAGCCGGTGCCCGTCCAGGCCCTTTTCATGGACTGTACCCACGATAACGAGACCCCTGCCCAGAAGCGTGATGCCCGCGACACCCTCCCAAACGCGGCTCTTGTCAGCATGTGTGCGAGCGCCACAGGCAGTGTCATGGGTTACGATGAAATCTATCCTAAGCTCGTCGATCTCGTCAATGAGACCAGACTGTACACTTCCGAGTCCTCTTGCAAGCCCGTCAAGATTGGTGGTGGCAGAAACGGCATCGGTGGCATCAAGAAGCTCCTGAACCAGATTCATACACTGATGGGGAAGGATGGCTACGACGAGACCCACATCCATCACGAGGATCAGTACATTACCGTCCATAGAGTCCACCCCGAATCAAGGAAGGGTTATTTCTTGATCGCACATACAGCTTTCCCCGGCTACGGCAACGGCAACGGTGCGTTCAACGCCGTCCACCTCGGAGGCACAAAAGCTCGGCACCTTGGCAGCTGGATGCTGGAAGTTGACGCTGGCGACGAGGCCAGGAAGGAAGCCCTCGATGACAAGAAGCTCCTGAAGGGCCTCCCCAGTCGCGTCGTCGATGTTCCCGGTGTTCGCATGGAGGTCAAGGGCGACGACACCATCATCACCGTTCGCGACAAGTTCCCCCCCGGCAGCATCGCTCTTTTCGAGACGTGGATCCCGGCTGCTGAGCACTCATCGGGTCTTGACAACTACGTCACTTCGGGCGCCAGATCCGCGATGGAGAACCTGAACCTTGTCGATCTTAACTTTCTGCTCTACCGATGCGAGGCCGAGGAGCGTGACGGCAGCGACGGCAAGGATGGCTGCTACGAGATTCCTGGGTACGGAAAACTCGTCTACGCCGGTCTGCAGGGTTGGTGGAGTCTTCTCAAGGATATCATAAGGGACAATAACCTCGCCCACCCCCTATGTCAGAATCTCCGCGATGGCCAATGGGCTCTCGACTACATTGTTGGAAGATTGGAGCGCATCAGCAAGACACCCGACTTTGACCGCTTGGAGAAGCCCGCTGTTTGGTTGAAGGAGCGTTTCGATGCCATCCGCAGGATCCCCAGCTTCCTGTTGCCAAGATACTTTGGCCTCGTTTTGCGAACATTGTACAACGCCGCCTGGGAGCGCGGTCTCGAACTCATGAATGACAACGTTCGCGAAGGCCAGTGGTTCCTCCAGAGCCTGGCGATGGTCAGTGTGCAAGAGACTGGCCTCGTCAAGTCTGCGTCCCTTTGGCCGAAGAAGCTGGTGCCTTCACTGGCTGCTGGCTTGCCCCATTTTGCCGTCGAGTGGGCGAGATGCTGGGGACGAGATGTTTTCATTTCCCTCCGTGGTCTCTATCTCGGTACCGGTCGATTTGAAGAGGCCAAGGAGCACATCCTTGCCTTCGCCAGTGTCTTGAAGCACGGCATGATTCCCAACTTGCTCAGCAGTGGGGCGCTGCCTCGCTATAACTCGCGTGACTCCATCTGGTTCTTCCTGCAATGCATCCAGGATTATACCAAGTTCGCACCCAACGGACTAGATCTGCTGCAAGAGAAGGTAAAGAGACGTTTCCTCCCCTACGACGACACTTGGTTTGACGTCGAGGACTCCCGTGCCTACTCGCATGAGAGCACAATCGAGGACGTCATCCAGGAGGCTCTCCAGAGACATGCCTCTGGCATGTCTTTTCGCGAGGCCAACGCTGGCCCTTCAATCGATTCTCAGATGAGCGATGAAGGGTTCAACATCTCCATCAAGCCTGACTGGGAGACCGGTATTATCTTTGGCGGCAACCAGCACAACTGCGGTACTTGGATGGACAAGATGGGCGAGAGCGAACGCGCCGGCTCCAAGGGTGTTCCCGGCACACCCCGCGATGGCGCCGCCATCGAAATCACAGGTCTCCTGTATAGCACCCTCAAGTGGGTGGCTTCCCTCAACTCGGACGGCAAGTACCGCTACTCTTCTGTGAAAAAGGCAGACGACTCGAACATCTCTCTCAAAGACTGGGCCAATCTCATCCGAGCCAACTTCGAGCGCTGCTACTACGTTCCCTTGACTCCCGAGGAGGACTCCAAGTACGACGTCAACCCCGAGATCATCAACCGACGCGGCATCTACAAGGACCTGTACAAGTCTGGCAAGGAGTACGAGGACTACCAACTGCGCGCCAACTTCCCCATTGCCATGTGCGCGGCCCCTGAACTCTTCGAGCCGGAGCATGCGCTGCACGCCCTATTGGTTGCCGACAAGGCCATCCGTGGCCCCACGGGTATGGCAACTCTTGACCCTGCGGATCTCAACTACAGGCCCTACTACCGCAACAGCGAGGACAGCGAGGACTTCGCCACTAGCAAGGGACGCAACTACCACCAGGGTCCGGAGTGGCTGTGGCCGACGGGATTCTTCCTCCGCGCTCTTCTCAAGTTCGACCTGGCAAGGAGGGGATCCGAAGCCGGACGTACTGAAGCCTTCCAACAGGTCACGCGAAGACTCATGGGTTGCAAGCAGATGATTCGGGAGAGTCCATGGGCAGGATTGGCAGAACTAACGCAGAAGGACGGCGAGGACTGCCCCGACTCGGTAAGTCTGATATATCGGAACTCCGACGGGTGAAGCGTAGGCTAACAGATCTATAGTGCCCCACGCAAGCGTGGTCCGCCGGATGCTTGATCGACTTGTACATGGATGCTGCGGAAGAGCAGAGTGATAAAGCCAAGATTGCCTTACCTGTAAGGACCAAGTAAACGATGCGATGTTACGAAAACTAACAACTCCCACTGGGTAACGTGTTCAGAATGGTAAAGCGGTTTGAGAGTTTCGAGATGGATGATGCAGAGAAAAAGGCCCGGAACAAGCAAAAAGCCGAACGAACGTGATCGCCTGATTGTCGGATTGAGACGAGGCAATAGGGCTTAACGGTATATAGATAAGGTGCATTGAATAACCAATCATGGTCTTTTCACTCAATGCCACGCCGTGAATTTGGTGATTCTATCGTGCTATATGTAAGAAAGACTACTTTTGTGGGTTTGGGCAGCATGATGAATCGTCAACCAGGTCGCAGCCTGCTGACTGACTGCCGTCGGAACATTGGCCTCGGAAGTCAGCAAATACTTCCGCAGAAGTCGGCAAGACAAGCCGTATGGTGCGTATATCACCGTCCACTGTGCGCTGTTCTCCCATATGACGGCTCCGGGTGTCCCCTGCCCCCTCCAACCGCCGCTGGGGCGCCGGTTCTTCTTCCCCGCAACATTTCCCCGAGGCCCCGTGCCTAGTGCCCAAAAACGCTTCTTGGTGGGGGGGGCGGGCAGGGAGAGACTGAAAGGGATAACAGACACACACACACACACACACACTCACAAGGTCTTCTGACCCGTTGAGCGAAGTGGTGTGTGAGGCGGGAATAGGAGCACAGTCCGAAAGTCTGTAGGTTACTTTTGTTTGATCGACACCGGCCAGGCGGACGTGAATCATGTCTGCTTTGCAAGACACATCTGCAGACCCCGCCATAAAAAAACACGTAGTCGTGGGACGAGGCAGTCGAAACAAATTAGCACAGAACCAAACTGGCGGCAGGTCTCCCCCGCTCCCGAGTCATTGCCAAAAGCTGCCGAAGCAAAAGCATGGCGGCCCGCCCGAGGGGCCGTCACGTCCCCAACAATCATGGACGAATGGATAGAAACAAAGGTGGATTATCATTTCAAATTCAGGGCCGAGCTCCGTGACCCCGAGTGCTTTCCCCTTCCGTTTTCCGGACCGGATTTTTCCAAAAAGGCAAAAACAAAAAAAGCAAAACAAAACCCCCCTCTCGATAAGGAGAAGAGCGGGAGCCGCGTTCTGTTGCGTAACCTGCGGATTCGGGTTCCCTCGTCTTCTGCTTCGTGACATGGACCTTTGCACATGCGGCAACCTCTGTTTTTGTGATTGCGCGGTGAAAAAGTACAGTGACCGCCGCTCGTTGTTCCCAATGATGGAGCTTAGCCAGTGTTTCCCGCCGTACGCCTATAAAATGACAAGGAGAACAGTGTTTGATACGAAAAAAAAAAAAAGAGCATAAGCCTTGCCCATAATGATGTGTGGGGGGGAGGGGATATCCAGGCACTAAATGCTGTAACCAAATGAACGCCGTCTCGTTAAGCCGTTGTTGGGTGGTGATGAAGGATACTTTGCTTCGCCAAACATTTGGAAAGGAAGTTTATCATGCCTACTACGTCCGCTCGTTGACGACCCACTTCTTCTTCTCCTTCGGGGGTTTCTCATCATAGATCGCGGGATGGGGTCCGGGCATGAACTGCCCGGGCGCGTTGACGATGCCGGCCTGGTTGACGTTGACGCCGGAGCCGGCAATGATGCCGCTGGGGCCCTGGTGGGCGTGCTTGCCGAGCTCGTACATGCGGTCCTTGCGGCGGAGGTAGCGCCGGCGCCAGATGCAGGCGCCAACCCAGATGCCGGCGATGGCGACTACGAGGATTACGAGCATGACGACCCATCTCCAGTGGTTAGAGAGCCTGGAGAAGTGTTTGTAAGCAGCTATCAGAAAAGCATCGACGGGTGGGTTGGGAAGTCATACCAATCGCCGCCATTTCCGTTGGAAGATCCTTTCGAGGCCGTCGAGGTGGATCCCGGAGAAGAGGACGTCTGGACAGCGGCACCGCCGGCGACTGAATTACAAAACGAGGTGTACCATCCTTGGATACTGCTGAAGCCAGCGGCATCGCAGCCTGCGGGGTCACACACACCAGTGGCGGCAGTCTTGAAGGGCTGGAGGGCCGGCTGACTGCAGAAGCAGGCATCATAGACTTTGGCGTCGGCCGCCGGGACGGCAGGTGGCACGCAGGCGCCGTTGGCGTCGAAGAGCGGGCCGCACTGTTGAGCGCAGGCCGGCAACTGCGCAAAGGGCATAATTGTCGTCGAAAGACCGGCTGGGCAATGTTCAGATTCAACAACATAGCGATGGGGCCATCGGGTGATAACTTACACATTTTGGCGGTATTGATGACAGGTTTCAAGTGGGAAAGGTTTGAAGAGAGCTGGAGGCGCCGATTTGTCAAAGGAAAGCAGCGGGAGGAGGTCGGAGGATGTAGGCGCGGCGAAAGTCAACACGGGTCGTTGGAATGCGGAGTCGGCGGAAGTGATTCAAGAAAGGTATTTCCTCCTAATTACGTATGGCTCAAACCACGGGTGGCGGCACGGGTGATGAGATTAAGCCACAATCCGGCGAGTCAAGCCCAAATATTGGCAATAGAATACAAACGCCAATCACTCTCGACTAGAAGGGGTGATTACACAGCGTGTATGGCGCGCGTCCTCGGTCGAGATGCGTTCTTGAGGTCGCAAGGGTGTGGATTTGACGATGGCTCCTCGGCAGCGGCGTCTAGTAGGTTCTCGTCCCAAGTCGAGCAAGGTTAAGCAGGGTCCAGCTGCCGTCCCAGCTTCTGTCACACGTGTTGCCTCAAAGTATTGCAACAACTGTTTGATATCGGGGAAAATAAAAGCCAAGTTTTGGTGCTTCTTTCCACAGGGCGAAAATGGGTGCTTCGCCAGGTCGTTTCGTCTAGTGCCTCAACCGAAAGGGGCCGTGGTGTTCAACGGGAGGCAGTAACGCATCAACCAAGAAAAGTTGGATCAGTTCGGAGACTTGGGAGGATGGAATATTAATATGGCAAGCGGGATTCTCGTGTGTGCAGGGCGGTCCTAAAGGTAAATGCGTCCTCGGTCGTATGTACGTTGTGCCCGCGGGGGGCGGCCGGTATTCCAAGGGAGTGGTAGCGATCGGATCGTATGAGGTTCGGCGGTGTCGGGCGGGATAGATGAGCTCGATGCTTCACACTCCTGGGTCCTCCTCGAACGAGTGACAAAGCGAGCGGGCGGAGGTCGGAAAAGGGAAATAGATACGGGGATCTACAGGGCCGTTGTCGACTTGTTGGTGGTTGGAGGAGAGAGGAAGTCAATGGTGGTGAGGAGGCAAGAGGAGGGAATAGGGAATTGATGACTGTCTGGACAGCACAAATCGACAGGGCCAAAAAGCAAGAAATCACGGCAGGACAGCCGGGGGCCAAGGACGGGCGATTTACCGATGCGATGGCATGACCACAGGGGGGTGGGGAGAGAGAAAGGCACTTTACATATCGCTACGGCTCACGCATGCTAGCAAGTACCTACCTGTCATGCCCTGTCTACCTACACCAGCTAAATCAGGTAGGTACCTAAGTACCTAGGTATCCAGAAGCGCCGCCAGCCCCAGCATACGGCCAAACAGTAGTGTCATCCACCACCACACTTTTCCCCCTCCATCCACGTCAAGTACAACACGCTACGGATATATAGCACGACATCGACGATGACAACCAGCAGCAGCACCAACAGCAGCAGCAAAACTGACTAGCACGCGCTACAAGTATGGCCATCTGCCAGCACAAAGGCAAAAGAGGAGGGATGAGCCCAGCCTGATTTTATGCGGGGGGAACACTAGCGAAGGGGAAGCGCGCCCCCGGGAGCGACTGGAGTCAGTTGACAGGTCAGCAACTGGGCCAGCGACTGGGCCAGCGACTGGGCGAGCGAGCCGGGTCTGGGGTTCCATGTCACCCTGCTAACTACCTCGTTCCTAGTGTAGTTTAGAATGGAATCCCTGATCGAGGGGCCGAACAGAGATGGCTGCATCCTCCTGTTTAGGTTGAGGTGTACGGATAAGGTGGGTCGAATCAAACGCAGAATGCACCACACTAACGAGAAGTTCGCCCAGAGGACCCAGAGAACCCTCCCCAGTCCCAGGTGGAAACGAAGGATGCGACGCTGTAGCTCTCTACGGATACACGAGGTGGTGTTCGGGACGGTCGGTACGGATACCGCACACACACACACACACACACACATGCACGGTACTGTGTTTTCCGTGCCCTTTTCGCTCCTCTGGCCCAATCTCTACACTCTGCCTGCAGCCCGACACATTTACGATACCACGCGGGAGTCCGTGGTGACCAGCTTGAACACACTGACGCTGACGCGCATGTCTCTGGCTGATTGGTAGGCGGTGCCAGAGGACCACAGTCCGGGCTGTGCAGGCGCCAGCTGAACTAGCCGGTCGGGCGGGGGGAGGAGGGAGAGGGCAGCCGGCCCAGCCATCTGTCGGAAGAAAAGGGCTCGGCCATTGAAGACACCCATCATGGCGCGGCACCCTTACGGCGCAGGGCGTATTCCGTGGCTTTCAACAGTAGTCTGTTTCCCGTCCCTTTGTTGCAGGGGGAACGGGCAGAAGTACAGAGGCGTCGTAGGTGTTGTTGCTGTCGTTACTGTTCTCGCGAGGCCTCGGTGAGCTAGAACAGAAAAAGGGCACCCCAAACACTAGCTTCGCACCACTCGTTTGCCTTATCTCTCTCCTTCTCTCCCATCTACGGGACGTTCTTGAACCAGCGTTTCTCCCTGCCCCTTCAACTCAGCTGCCGGCTCGGTGGGTGGCTGGCCTACGAGGTACGCGCTGTTCCGGATTTAGCCGTCTCAACTTTCTGCCTTTGTGCAGAAATCTATGGATGGCGTTCGCTATGCAAGATACGGGTCAGCCGGTCGAGAACAGATGAGAGACGGAGTAATATGCTTATGCATATCATATACCCTTTTTTTTAACATAATACGGATAAGCTTAGGTATATTCCAGCACAACAGGCTAGGTAGGTACGATGATGTATGACAGAGCCCAAGCGCTTGTTTCTATGTCGCAGCGGCCATGCATCGCGTCTCAGCGATCAGCGCATGCTTGCTGCTTGTTGCTTGTTGCTTGCTGCAAACACTTTCGGGTGTCTTGAATCGAATCATTGAATGCCATTTCCCGTCCCTGGATCATCTTTTTTGTTGTCCTCGTCGTCTTGTACATCCATTTTCTTAGTCCCTTGCAAACATGTCCCCTTGCCCTCCCTACCCACCGAGCCCTGGCCTCCGCTCGGCCTCCTTTGTCGGAACCACTGAAACTGAGGCGTATCTACGTGGGGGAAATGGGGCTACGATGCTCGCGAATTTCAAGATAAAACACGATGGATCTGCTTTGCTGCGCTCTGTTCTGCTCTATCCTGCGGCGTCGCGAGGGATTCTCTCAGCGTCTCACGTATCCACGCACAGTTTATGGACAAATTAACCACACACTCAGCGAAATTACTCACAGTGAGTGCAAGGATTGAGGCATCAAGGTAACCCTTACATAGTAGATAGCCAGTGCACATTTATTAGGCGGCCAGTGTCTAACCTGATCTGGAAGGACTGCCCCATAGGAGCTGGAAATACCATATTCCGTCACCCTAACTCTAACTAACCCAGACCCTGACCACCCTAACCGCTAACCATACGTATCTTTGAGAACCTTTATATCTATAGAAGATACATAGGGTTAGTGGTTAGGGTGGTTAGGGTCTGGGTTAGTTAGAGTTAGGGTGATGGAATATGATTATTTTATCTGTGCTGGGGAAATCTGGCGGTAGTGGCAGATTGGGTTAGACACTGGCCGCCTAACAAAAGTGCACTGGCTGTCTAAGGGTAACCAGTCATCAACTGTCACCCTACCCAAAGGAGTGTGGCGCTGAAATGGCCGCTGGATCGCTCGGGGGCGGGCTCAACAGGGGCGCAAGGGGGAGGAAAAAGAAAAACATTGTTCAAGACCAAGCAAAAGTGACTTGTGTGCTTGTCTCCGTATTGCTTGCTGCCAATCTGTCTTGCCGCAAAGTCTAAGACGGCCGACTGGTCCTCTGATTCGCTTGACGTCATGCACCCGGGCCTGAACGCGCACCGTCTCATTTTTTCTACATTTTATGCTTTTTTGCTTGTCCTCGTTGACAGGGAGCCGTAGACGGTGGTCATCCCGGACCGACGTGAGAGACGATTTGGGGTCAAAAAGGTGACGGCAATAATGAGTTGAGAACGGGAGAGACTGACCTGCGAGAAGAGTAACCTGGCTACTTGACTCACTCACCCACTTATTTGTTTACTCACTCGGTCATTCACTCACTCACTCTCACTCGCACACCTTTGCCGCTTCGGCTTACCTTAACCTTAACCCGCATGCCTAAGAACACTCGCTCCTCCCCCTCCATGTGAACAACCACCCCGGCAGGGCGGAACAAGACCTCCCTGGCAGGGTATATCGGCATTCATACGATGGACTTCAGCAAGACGGAGACTTTGAGCTGACGAGGAGTTACTACCATGGCATCCAAAAATAAGTTTGCCCTTCTCAGTCAGTTGACGAGTCCCACTACAACTCTTCAATCTCTGAACAGACTATTGCTTCTCGCATCGACCGGCCCCATCGCATCGATAAATTCACTCGGCATTCCGCGTCGCCTAACCCAACCTGCCTCGTCATGCTTCCAACTCACCCCACTTTGGTGTATGCGCTCTGCTTGGCTCTCTGCCGGCAGTGAAGCGACGAACGTGGTGCAAAAAGACTTGCATGACGTCTCCATTTCTAGCATATCTGTCATGAGGAGGAGACCATGCCAAGCTACGCCGTTGGGCTCGGCGAGCCACTTAGACCGGATCCCTCCGAAATTCGACACCCCGAACGAGATCGGCATGCCAAGACAAAATCAAACGCGAACTTGCCCTTACAGAGGAAAGAAAGAGGAGTGTATGGTATGTGTGTTGGTGCAAGAAGTACGGATACAGCTGTGACTCTCCATCTGGGCACCGGTGGCTCGGCACGTACAGCACAGCGGCCGATGATTCTCAAATGACCGACACCTCATCGTCCCGCCCATGCCTTTCCAGCCGTCATCCTCGCATGCAAACGCTAAGGCAGGCCGGCTGCACACCTAGGCCGCCTTGGCTCATCTCATTGAGTTCTGCACGTACTGCAGTCCCGGCACACTGATGTCCTCAGCCGCAGACTAGCTGGACAACTGAACCAGGCGACGCTCCTGTCATTCGTACCCATCCAGCCTTGGACAATGGGTGCACCGATCGGAGGCCTTCCTTTCGTCTCCACGATGATGTAGTGGAGTCAAAGGAAATGCAGGTGCCTTGGGTCCAGCGACGATCTATTGGGAGTGCTTTCAAGCCTACATACAGAGTGGCATACCGTATATAATAAACCTTTCCGCGGTAACCCATGCGGTTTCTCTAGCCCCGACCCCCAGGGAAAGCCCCTCACCCTCGCATGCCTTCCCTGCCTTTTCCAGGTTTCAGTGCTGCTGCTGCTGCTGCTTTTGCGTACGAGACGTGGCGCACGTCGCCGACGCGCCCGACCCCTGACCTCCGACACCCTGCCCCGCCTCGGATCCGGCCGCCGGCACCTCGGCGATGGTGTTGAACGGCTCCTGCCACGACGGCTCAGTGAGCCACCGGCCGACGCAGTAGCTGCCGCTCCCGCCCGTCACTGCCTGGCCCCGACCGAGCGGCCGGTACTGCCAAGAGCGGTCCACTGGCACCGTGCTCGAGGCGGCGCTCTGCCCGCCGGACGTCTTGCTGCTGGAGTCTGTGAACCTGTCAGTTCGTAGACCATTCCAAGTGGAGAGGAATAATGGCACCAACTCTCTGAATTAAAAGTGGTGGTTTGCTTGGAAGATTGCTTGGCCATTGCGCCGAGTTCCAAGGTTGGGATCGGCAACGAGGTGATGAGTCTGATGTTTGCGTAGTGAGTGCTTGAGCTGAGGACCAGGGGTGAAGACTTGATGATGATAGTGATAAGGATGATGGGGTGTTTGTAGATGAAGGTTTCAACTGCGAAGATGAGTGTGGAGTGAGGCCTCTCTAATCATCAATCTCAGAGATTTCAATCTTCTTTATACTCTTCCATCTCTCATACAATCCCCTGAACTCTGAGAAGCATCGCCGTGACTTTCACTCTGCCAATACGATACGTTCGTACACGACGGATCGGGCCCTCTCTTGATGAGCCCCAAATACGCCATAAGTTGCACATACTTTTCTTCGAGGTCCTTCAATGGACTCTAAGCGGGCATCTTGCCGCAGCACCGCATGCCTTTTTCGTGCTTCTTCTTTGAGCAGCTGCCAAGCGCGAGAACACAAGTACGACTCGACTCGGACCACAGCGCTAGTGGGTTTCCAAGTCCGGTCCTAGGCTTCTCACCGTCAAGGGACCCGCCCTGCGAGGAGGTTTGCTATGCGATAATTAGTCGCTGGGCTACAGAACCAGCCCCGAGTACATCTTGCAGACATGTTTGCACCGAGAGCTTACGTGTGTTTCACTAACCACAAATGCAAATGATATTTTTACGGTTCGACATGTAAATCTTCGTCACATTTGACGTCTTCCTCGGGCCCAAACGACTTTCCCATAGTTAGCCTCTAGCCCCTTGGGAGCCGGCTGGACCTCCGTTACCTCGCAGCCCTCGTGAGACTCATGCCCACGTTGGCAAGGTCTGACGCATATTTTCTGCAAGGTAATGCAGCACTTTTTCCGAGTTGACGCCTGCGCGAGGGCGTCGGGGATACGGCAGACTATCCGCATCTCGTATCGTCACACCAGGGGAGTATTGCACCTCGTCCCGTCCGAGCCTCGTGTTGCATACCTAGCGTGGCCGCGAACGGCTCAAAAAACCCCTAGACCCCTAACAGAGACATGTGGTTCGCAGAGCACGTCCTGATGGGAAAGATGACGGGACGGGGGCCCGCCTGATCTCGCACAGGTAGCCGCTCTTCTGTCTAACTATGTTGCATGACTTGGGACTATTATTAAAGAATGGCTGCATCGGTATATGTTCCCCTAGGCGTTAAAAGACTCGCCTTCCCCCCCTTTCCCTTGTCTATTTTAGCACTAGAAGCGTTCTATTAAATATTAAGGATTATAATAGTTAATTAATTATATTATTATATATATATATATATATTCAACTATAGTAAAATCCTATAGAAATAAAGAATTTCCTTATTTCTTAGTTAGAAATCCTAGGCTAATCTTAGCTATATTATTAGTAAGATTACTATTAAAGTAAAGCAATTTTATTACTTATTTATTAGTAACTTACTATAAGCTAACTATATATTTAATAACAAATTTATATAGTTATACTTTTACTAGTTATATTTAATATACCTTCTTAATATTAGTAATATAAGTAATTACTATAATACTTATACTAAATATTCTTTATTTATAGCTATTTATTTATTAATTATCTTTTAGTATCATATATATATATATATATAGTAAGTTATATATTATAGTAACTTATATATATTTACTATATTTTTACTATCTTTATCTTTAAACTAACTTTATACTATATATAATAATAAAATTCTTTACTTATAAAACCTAGATTATCTCTATACTTATAGCTATTTCAAAAGACCTAAAACTATTTATATAAAAGGTAGCCTTTATTTACTAGGTGTCTAAATCTATACTTTATAACTAACACACTAGTAAAAAAGCATAATAAAAATATAAATATAAATCTAATAAAAATAACTATATCTAAAGGAAAGGTAAATCTTAAAAAGGTTATTAACCTAATTAATTAAGAGTTTCTTTTATAATAAGAAAATATATAAGAAATTATAAGAGGGCAGAGAGTTAAAAAAAATACAATACAAATAAAATACAATACAAATACATGTATTTGTATTTTTTTTATAACACAATACAATACATGTATTTGTATTTGTATTTTTTACTTTACACAATACAATACAAATACAAATACATGTATTGTATTTTGTATTTAATACAAAAATACAAAAATAAAATACAAAATTATTAATTCCTTTATATATTAATATATACTATAGTAAAGTAATATATAAAAATATAGTAATATAACCTTATTAATATTATTATATATATTAGTTAATAATACTAAGACTTTTAACTTTATTACTATAAAAAGTATTTAAAAGAACATTAATCATATAATATTTCTTTACTTCTTTAATATTATAATGTAATATAATATTTATATTACTTTCTTCTTATATATAATAGCTAAAGTAAATACTATACTTTAAAGTGTTACTAATAGTGTTTTATAACCTAGTAAATTAGTAATAGTAATTAATTAAAGATTAAAATAAAAAAAAATTACTTTAAAGTCTTTAAAAGTACTATTATTATTATTAATAATCTTATTATTATAGATCTTATATAATAATAGCTGTAAGGTATTAGTAACTATAGTATCTTTATTATTTATAATAATATTATATAATATACTATAAGAGTTAAATACTTCTTAAGTATTAGAATTTTACTTTTCTTATAATTATTATTATTTACGTTTTATATTTTCTAAGTTATTTAAGAAACTAAGATATATAAAAGAAATAAAACTGTTTAATTCTTTTATTAAGTTAACTAAATCTATAATATTGAGATTAGTAGTAGTATTAATTATAGTATCTATAATATTATAATAGTTAACTTTTTCTTTTAGGTCTAAGTACTTCTTATACTAAAGTAGACTTAAAGATATAGTAAAATCTATTTAAAAACGTATTATTTATTAGTAATTAATATAATTTAATATTAGTAGTTATATATTAATAGTATTAAAAAGTAGATTTTTAAATAACATTAATATATTAGTAAAATAAATACTTACTTTATTAGTAATAAGTTTTATTAGATAAAGTATATACTACTAGCTTAGTAATAATAAAGTATTTAAATATTATACTTATAGTCTAAAGTAATAAAGTAAGTTATAGAATAATAACTTAAATATAGTATAGTAGTAACTAATAAGACTTAAATAGAGGTTAAGTTAATAAAGATTAAGAACTTAGTAAACTAAAATAACTATAAGCTATATATATAGTAGTTAGTAAGTAGTTACTAGCTATATAAAGTATATTTAATATTTATAAATAATAAAAGTAAAATAAGGCTTATAATAAGAATAAACTATATAGTTTATAAAGGTTTAAAGTATAATTATATGTTAATAGAAACTAATATATACTATATAACTATAGGGTATAATATATATAATAAAGATATTCTAGTTATAAAAAATAAAAATAATATAAGTATAGATTATAACTATAAAGTATAATATAAGAAAAGAATTCTTAATAACTATAAATATAAAGTAGAAATTAAATAATTATAGATTAAATATATATTAAATACTATAATAAGATAAAAGATTATAATACCTAAAGTATAGAACTTATATATATTAGGTAACTACTTTTAATACTACTATATATTTTAATATAAAATAATATTAATAGAATAACATATATAATATATTATATAATATATAAAAAGAAAGAAATTAGAAAGTTTTTAAATCTTATAAGTCTTATACATATAAAAGGTTATATAGTTAGGTAGTTAGTAAGGCTAGTAATTTACTTACTTAAATAAAAGAGTAATTTAAAAGTAAACATTTTAGCTTTATTTTCTATTAAGCTTAACCTTAATAATATAAGGTATATTTTATATATTTCTTTATACTTCTCTATATATATTATACTATATAATACTTTAAATACTATAATACCTAATCTCTAATATATTATAAAATTACTACTTTAATATATATAATATAATATAATACTTACTAACTATTATATATATAGATTCTAAAGACTAGTAGAATAGTAATATAAAAGATTACTTATATTATTTATATTAGCTAGTTAATACTTAGCTATACCTTCTACTCTTATTATAGTAAAAAATAGCTTTAATTAATTTAGTAATATTAATACTAAAAGAAGAACTAATTTGTTTAATACTACTAAAAAAAAGATTAATACTTATCAAGAAACAGTAAGAATTTCGTTGTTTAGATAATCTAGATAGTATGTTTTAATACTCTTAATA